GACTGCGATCACCGAACAGGATGATACCGACACCGACGCTCTTGCGACAGAAGAGCCCCTGGAAGTTGGTTTGTAAACGTGGTAGATCTCATTCGGCCTTAGTGCGAACACGACATCGCCCCCCTTCTTATTTCTATTTGTTCTCCTCTTTCTCATCGAGTTTGCACTTCGTGTTAGTTCAGGGGAGATTCACTATATGTGTCCGTCTCTTCAAGAAAACCGGAGGAACACGTCTCCATGCGCCGATGCGCTGCTTTTTGACGTGGCTTGCACTCCTGATTCCCATCCTGCACGCAGTGAACTGCATATGTATTGGGTTTATATCACGTGATGCATATAAGTGTGTTACGTCATACTCCGAATTCGTGTCATCCATACATGCCATTTTATGGCACCTCCCGCATGACATGGCATGTGTGTCATAACGCGACTGTGCAATATTTTGTGATGCAACAAAATGCTGTGACTTCATGTCTTCGTGAAAACCAGCGGTGGTCCTTGCAACTGATTTTCAACTGAGGCGCATAATGCGAAGGTCGAAGTTGCGGTTCCTGCCAGCGTAAAATTGTCTTTTCGGCCACTCTACATTTCTGACATCGCAATTATCGCGATGCAAATAAACAGTACAACTAACGTTCCGTACCATGCTAGGATTCCTTCGCTGTTAGCTTTTTTACGATTGTTGAGTCATACAAAGTGATCGAGAAAGGAGTTCTCGAAAATTCACTTTATTAATGTCTTCCATGTTGTACGCATGCGTGGCGTTTGCATTTAGGGGTAGGCGTGAAGAGTGAGACGATTCACAGCAGCGTGCTCCTACACCGCAGTACAGCAAAGTCAGCCAATTAAGGCACTTATGAAAAAAGAGAGAACATCATAGCTACTACCCCCCCCCCCCTCGTGCGTACTCCTATAATCATACACGTAGCTCGTGCCATTCAAGTCACGTGACGTTATCTGTGTCCAATTCATATCAATGCCCTATGATTTGGCGCTTTCAACTTTCTTGAAACGTGAGAGGCGGGTGGCAACATGGCAGACTTTCTCGCAAATTTGGCTCCAACTTACCGCCACACACAAACTTCTGTTGCGGTGACGTAAAGTAACTTCGTATCAAGTTGAGGGCAAGGCCGCCACTGTGCCAGAGGCTTTTCGTAATACGCAGCATCCTCCATGCGTATAGAAACATCAACAGAATACAAAAAGCGGATTAGAGGATATTTCGCTTTTGCAATTCAATCCCGGGTTGCCGTCGTCGGCAGAGAATGCAACTTTGTAAAAACGTTTTCGTGTTCGTCAGTCATTTGTTTCTACGTAAGAAGTCGGCGCGATAGCGGGTAACAAGTAAAACAGTTCCGACATCAACACAGCATTGCTTTCTTTTTCATTTTCAGTGTCTTCTTTTTTTTCCTTAACATGTCCTAAACGAACGGCTGGTTTCGAGTAAGCTTTTAAATCACTGGACAAACAAAGCTATTTTCGAAGTGCTAACTCCAAGAAACGTATACACCCCAAACATCATTTTTCCTAATATTCTTTTAAATAAGATATGTGTATCGAAGCCTTATAATGAAACACTAACGCAGTCAACCCCAAGCAAGGTATTTTTTTTTTCGTGTTATCCATAAAGGCAGATATTGATGTATATTTAAGAACGCGGGACTGCGAGACGAAAACGTATACGTGCCGAATTCACCAATGGCGAAACATGAGAGCACTTTCTCCGTGGGCTGTATGACGAATCGCTCACTAATCATATCGCCTTCGTATCGTACATTTTATACACTACAAAATCTTGCTACACCTTAGTTCAGATATAACCCATGTGATTTTTAGAGGCGTTCCTTGAGAGCATATATCCACTTTTGTCTCAATTTCATATATATGAATTCACAGTTGAGTAAATATGCACCCGATAACAATATATATATATATATATATATATATATATATATATATATATATATATATATATATATATATATATATATATATATATATAGGAAAAATTGTCCGCTTTTGCTTTCTCAGAATAGGGCACACTTGCGGTACACAAAGCGTTTGTTCACAACAAGTATGCCAGTGTCTGTGTAAACATCTTTTTTTTCTTTCTAATCGGAGATCCGTTGACTGCGATAGTGTCTGTGTGCCATAAGCCACATAGTACCTGTGCCTTCCTGTTTGCACGTGCCATTATGTCATATATTTGTTACCCGGTGCAGTCTTGCTTTACTGAACTGTTGTTACTAGCATGCAGTAAACTTTACTGTGTGTATCATTCTATACTGATGGCGAACCTCACTACGGTAAGGGCGGTGAAGAATTGGCAGTGCTCCGCGTCTTGCTGGAGTATCAGTATAGGCTGAAGCAGGATCGAATCACCATTTTCCTTCAGTCAACAGACAGCGTGTACTCTTATGTCCATCATTGTCTACATATGCGCAAATCCATTATTTGAGAATTGAGGAGTACTGTAGCTTTTAAACCATGTTGTCCTCCACGTAATTCGTTGCATCAAAAGGCTCATAGCACACCCTCTTTCAAGAGATTACTACAGCGACAGTGTGCATAGCACATGCCTTCGGAAAGCTGTGTACATTGCTCCAGTTACGCAGCTGAGTGCCACGTTGACTTCTTTCTTCATGTTTTAACACACAGAGACATACCCCAACGTGCAGCCTGTAGATATGATAGGTCTTCGCCAAAGCTGTTAACTAGACAGCATCGTGATGATGAAAATATCTTATTATGCAAATTCAAAGAAAACGGGGAAGGCCCCTATTCCAGGACGCCCATGGCAACCTCTGCGACAGCCCGCAGAGCGAGCGCCCGACAGACCTAGCGGGACGCCGTCGCGAACGGGGCTTTCCCACTGCCCTGGGTTACGAGTGGACGGAATGATTGGTGGGAGGAGAGAGAATTAGGCCGCGCTGCACTCATAGTAGTGATCAAAGTGCAGCGCACAGTATAGAGCACCACCGGCGACGCATGGGGAGAGCATACCCTAGATGGAGAGGACTCGCAGTTCAGTCCATGACACCACTGAACGAGGCGGCCGTTGGTTGTCACCATTGTGTAGACGTGTATAGGTCAAGTTCCGGAACTTGAGATTATTGCACTTGACTGTGCGGCCCCACTACCTCCTGGGCACATGCCATGAGGTAAGCGGAAGAAAGAGGCAAGCAATGCGTTTCTCTCTCTCTCTCTCCGATAAGTCTCATTTCCTGCAATGATTCAACTTCAAGTGAAACTTCGTCGCAGATGTCTCATCCGGCGGCCGTCCACTGTCGCCGGTGCAATAAATCCTCTTTGACCGTAGCGCCTCGTGGATCCTGCGCGAATCTTTCACAAATGTTCAAGCGTTCTGTTTATCTATAATCCAGACTATATTTCAATACGGCGCGAACGTATCGGGTCCCCAATAAAGCAAAATTGGTTGTAGCATCCGTCTTCGGTACTACAAGCCCAGAGTCTGAGTCCCGCCGTTGGAACGTTTCTGAAAATTTGTGTTTATACTATTACGAAGTAAATACACGCTGAACTGATGTCACTCGTACAAACACACACGCATGACCAGGCACATGACTACTGACGTAAACGGAATTCCGCAAATTGACACTCGCTTGGCTGAGCACTAGTTTCAATTAAGATGATTAACATTAAGTAATGTAGGTAGTAGATATATGAAGGATAACATACTTATGCACTTATGCAAGAAACCAATATCATCGAGGAGAGTATACAACAAAGCGAAAAGAACATTTTAAAAACTTCAGTTCTGTCAACTCAGTTGGTGAGTAGTATGCAGACAAGGGTCCCAAAGTCGAGCCAGTGCAGCGGGACCCTCTCGGTTCGTGTCATTCAAAAAGCCAAGAGCAGTGGAACAGACATCTCTGCGACTATAACCAATAGTATTTTTGGGCCCAAATGACAAATTTACAAAAATTTATAATGCTGGTCTATATTAAATATATAATAAATATATAATGATCCCGTTAAAAGCACCCCCCTTCACACACACACACACACACACACAGCTACGAACTTGTAGCTGCGAATGAATTATTAGGAACATCACAAGACGCACACCACAGAACTTACGCTCCACGTTACTCTTGCCCCCTTCGGTATGAAAAAAAAAAATAGTGAAAGTGCCTAATCTCAACTTTCATTTTTCTTTATGGTCCACTGAGGCCGCACATGTCTTGTTACTGACGCGAGCTCTTCACAGCTGAGCACACCCGTTTTCCATCACGCAAAAAAAAGAGAGAAAGGAAGGAAAGAAGAAATTGTAGGGTCGCGCTAATGGTAGCAATCGCCTCCAGGCGTACCACCCTTAGTCCGACACCTCGCGAGTAGCCGGTTCAGCCGTCGAAAAAAAAAAAAATGACCGGCGGCAAAAATCGACAACCCCATTAGTGTGAATTCCCTCCCACCCGGCTACGTCGTTTCAAATAAGGCGTGCAATCAGTGACCAGCAGTGGCCGCTAGTTAAGATCAAGGCCCGCCACATTTTTTCTTTCACCTTCCAAGGACGCGCTCGCGGGGGGTAACTGCAGCTCACACTCAACGTGGCGGTGAAAGAAGCGTGCCTCACCCAGCAGCCCTTTCCAGACGCAAAACTTCGGTGCATAGTTTTAACCGTCGCGGCTTCGAACGGAACGGACACGCACAAACACACACACCAGTGCCGATGCTCCCTTCCCTTTTCGATGCAACCTCCGCTTCTAGACTGACTTTTCGCGCGCGTCTCACTATCGCACCGTTGCAGCACGCGCAGGCTCTTCCGCAGCGCACTACCGGAGTGTGCGCAATCAATAAGACACCGTTGCGCTACGCTTCCCCCCCTCCCGTCACATCTCTTTCAGAGAGAGAGAGAGAGAGTTGCAAGTGGTGTTGGTTGCAACCGGTTACCCTCTCATACGCTTCCAAAGTCTGGAGTTTTCAGAGTGATCGGAAAAAAAAAGAGAGAAAGAGGGTGAGACGTTAGTCGACTCGTGCTCCAAGAAGCGTCATTTCTTTTTTTGCGGTCGCGAAGAGCGCCACCACCGCACGCACCGTCGAAGTTTGTTAAGGGGGGAAACCCGTGGCACGCTCTTGGCGCATTCGTAAAAGCGCGCGCGTTCCTCGCGCGCCCAACCAGTGTACAGTCGACGTCGACGAAGAACGCAAATGTGCGTCCTCCTACTAGCGTTGGGCCTTGCGGCCCTTGGTTCGAACCTAAAATGCGAGGCTCATTTTCTGGGCTCAGGTGAGTGTGGTGATTTTATACCTACTTCGAGTTTTTCAGTTTGTTTATTTTTTCACATTCATGTGTGATAACTATTTTTTTTCCTCGTTGGCGAAGGAGGACCGGAAAATACACGTGTGCAAATGTCAAAATAAAGTAACGGAACAATGTTAACGGCACTCCGTGTGTATGGGGTATTAGAAGACTTCATTTAAGCCGTGTCCACGTATTAAGGGAGTATAAAGTTTGAATTTCTTCGCTCACCTAGCGGGGATCGGCACACATAATTTCACGGCGTGCTTTCAAACTAAAATTATTTTAAGTGGTCTGTGCGATGGCAACTTGTGCAGCTGTATATACCTCATATCTCGTACATCACTCGTCTCTGTCGTTTTCGTAAATTACGGGATTTTTACGAGATTAGTACCGATACCTACACAGCAAGTTTGCTGGTGAGCTGTGTTTTCGAGCAAATCGAGTTTCACTGCTATAGTTATATTTCATTTCACTTTTGCAATGTTTTTACCAGAAGCGTGAACAAACAGCAGAGCGAGGAGCGTATAATTGATTTTCGTCGCATGTTTTCGCAGTTACCACGGGCTGTTCGATAAGCTTAACCGGTGGTTATCACAGCTCATTTCGAAGAAAACACCTTCGTTACAGAAAGTCTAATTAGTTTGAAGCAGAACAGGCACGAAGACGTCTCGACCAAACGTTTTATCAGCCGATTCATTTCCACAGCGATTCATCCGATTTAGTATATCGGTGTTACCACAACCATACGTGATGAAAGGTATTTTTTTACACTTCGAACGATAGCGAAAAATAATAATAAATAAAGGAAAAAAACGTGCGCTTCAGGTAAACAAGTCTTCTCTTAGGCGACCCTCAAGGATTGGCAGCGTTCGCTTAGTCCGTACGCATACGTCACTCGAAGGCCAAAGTTACGCGTCGATAGTATACAGGTATAATTAATTGTTGGGGCCCCACCAGAGCCGTTGCTTACGGCACGTTGTAGCAATCTACGAGGAGGCACCTTTGACTCTGTGCGTGTTCTACGAGACGGCGGAATGATTTTGCGTGCTTTTGGTTGCGAAACGGTCTGCGGACGCCTTAGTTACCGGCGGGGAGGCACATGCGATGCATCATTCGTCAACTATGACTCCCCGGGCAAGTCAGCACGAGCGTGTTTTCATCGAACAGGATGAAAAGAGGTGGAAACGGGTGGTAAGGATGTGCAAGCGCTCTGCCTATTTATTTGTCTTTTTATACTTTCTTCTTCGTTTGAGCGTGTAGATTAGTCTCAACACAAGAATGAACCGATAAGTTATAAAGTACTTACAGATACGAGTTTGTTTTATGTTTTTCTGCTCGTGTATACGTGTGTGAAAATTATATCGCGTACGTGTGGGAATGTTCTGCGTGTTTATTGGCAATGAACGTGAATACTCGTCCATGCGAATGCGCCACGTCTATACTGGCAGAGGAGGGAAGCGGAACGTTCCGAGTATTTCGTAAATAGCGCTCGTTCGGCATAACGAAGGAAAGTGTCGGCGCACTGACAGGTGCTGGGGAGAGATACCTCGGCGCTGTAATTACGAAGACCGTATATGTTTAAAAAAAATTGCCCGCAGCTTCCCTCGGGGGAACACTGAGGAGGATGCGGACCATATAATTGGTTAACGGGGTGTTAAAGTGCGACTTACTTGGGTCGATGGCTAAATTGGTTAACGTGGTTTGAAATGGGGTGTTAAATTGCGACTTACTTGGGTCGATGGCTAAATTGGTTAACGTGGTTGTAGGAGGGGGTGTTAAATGAGTGAACACGTACACACGTATGCGAAAGGGCGGCGCTGGTCGAAGGGACGTCGATCATTGTGTTTGTGGATTCGTTGGAATTCATTTCACCGCGACCTTGGACGTCGACGCGCCGTACAAACCAACCGACGAGCGGCAACTGAGCGAGCGAGCGCCGACCTTGAGTATATATACAGCACGACGGCGCATGCACTGTCAGCTGTTGAATGTTCTCGAAGCGCGACGCCACATGCGCGTCCACTGGAGAATCAGGAGAATTGTAGATGTTGAACGCGGTGTGTAGAGGAAGAAGGGTGCACAGATGGTGGAGGAGTGAAGCGCGCGCGGTGTGTAGAGGAGGAAGGGATGCACAGATGGTGGAAGAGTGGGCGACTGCGCGACGGCGCATGCGCGCGCGTCAGCTGTCGAATGTTCGAGAAGCGGTGCGGACGGCGCACTACAAGGCGCGAGTATAAGATGCTCCGCATCTAAAACAACTCAACAGATTGCCAACTCACGCAATCGAAAATATGCTCGGTCACTAAATATAACCATTTGTGGAGCACGTATTGTTAATATTCTGAAGGCATGGAGAGGGCCGAGTTAATGTATGAAGCGAAACGACGCACATGTTTCAACGACCCCTCAAATTGTGTAATCTATAACGACTCATGAAAGCTGTACTAAGTCTTGCAGTATATATGTCCTGTCGACTATCTTGTGATTGTGCCTACTAGATTTATATAACGATTTTATGATACCCAGTATGAGTGGCTATCACAACTAAGTAGTTTGTTTCGGGAGAGACGTCACTGGTTTCTTGTATGAAGATTCGTACGTAACATTTGTGCACAGTTTGCTAAAACGATGTACACATGCTCTGAAGACCGTGCACTTCTATTGAAAAAAAAAATTGTGGCAAACGTGAAAAGCAATTCGACCTGCACTACTGTTCTCATAATAATGCGTTGGCGAGGGCTCCAATAATGTAAAGTGGTCGTCAATGGACAGCCCCCTTTGTTGTCGAGGAGTATCCGTACATGCTGGTTTGCGTAGTACATCACACACAAAAAAATCTGAATCACCCAACAGTAGGCATGCATAAGACAACTACAGATCCGAAATAGGGTACTACAATTATTAATTTTCTATTTCCAGTATTGTTAGCTGAGACTACACTTACGATCATAGCAAATTAAGGATACGGCAATGTCAGTGGAGTACCTGTGCGCTCACTGTAAAAATATGAACTCCTTTGTGACATCGAATTCATTTATCTTAAGCTATAGTTCTGAAGTTACAAGTCATTAGATACTTCATATACCGTTTACTTCATTGGTCATGTAAAGCAGCATAAACGTTATAAAGCTTAACCGTATATATTTTATTGGGCCTCACAGAGGTGAAACATTTAACTTTTTATGCCTCTGTCTCATCACGTAAGTAGCTCAGTCCCTATAATGTGCAGCCTCGCCCGGCCTTAGCGCGCCACTCTGGAGCAACGATATGGGTAATAAGAGTCGGAATACATATGTGTCACCTCGAGTTCATCAGACATATGCGCCATGTGGACATTAAGCCTATACGTTCCGGCTAACGTGCTTTGCACGGTCTGAGATACCGCCTCGATGTAACGCGTGCTTAGTGCCAGCGCGGCGCGTATAGGACGTTTCCAGCATCGACGATTTCTCATCCGGGCAGTGGAGCGAGGTCCGTGCCAGGCCAAGAACCCTCTGGGCCGGGGCTTCCTTGACGGGACGTGCATGCCGGCGATCAAGTGCAAGCAGATACTGCGCGGCATCGTCCGACTCAACTTCCCAGTCATCTGTGGCTTCGAACTGCTCAAGCCCATCGTGTGCTGCCCGCACATGGGACATTCCGCGCCCGGATCAGGAGGAAAAGGACCAGGTGCACGCGCGTATGCCACTCTGGCGCGCACTGCCTGTGGGGAGCTTCCGCTGACGTCGCCCCTGCCACTGTGACGTCATTGCTAGAACGTGCGGCTTTCATATGCACGGAGGAAAGAGATGAGAGAAAGCAAAAGCGCAATACGACTGAAGCCGCAAAAGAAGTAGTAGAACAGGCTCAGTACGTGGCATCTATGTAGGAGCACGCGTGCCGAACAGGCAACGCAATACAGTGTGCCGTGGCCGAACAAAATTCCCGGTCACATAGACTCTTTCTCGGAGGTCACGTTCTCGGCCGATACTGCCGGAGAGAAGAAAAAGAAAACTAATGAAATGGCTTTGCGTTGCGAAAGCTGCGTGGTTTAGCGACGTATTACTCTTTCTTGTGAACTGCGGAGAGCAAGTTACATGCCGGATAGAGAAAACAAAAACGCGATGCAGAGGTCAAACGCTACTATAGCGTCAATGGCGCTTGCCCTGCGTGTACTTTGTGAGTGCTTCTCTGTCCCTTACGAAATTTGCGCCCATGCAGTTCATACTTCTGAACCAACCATCCCAGCAACGAATTGCTTGATTATGCTGTCTCTCGATCGGGTTACTTTGCCTGCAATACCATGCTCATCGAGTGAGTCATGACGGCATGTGTACTTCGTTTTTCTTTCCTCAGTCGGTGCTGTGAAAACCAATGGCAACTGAATAAGCGGCAATACCGGAGGACCGTACGTCGTATACTAGCAGTAATAAACACAGGCGTTAGTGTCGATTTCCGCTAGTATAAGATGCACAGCCTCAATGCAACTGAAGTCGACATACTCGCATACCTATGCCGAAATTGCGCATGCTATGCAGCGGTATTTAAAGGAAAAGTCTGACGGAAGCGAAGAAAGTCACAAAAATAAAGCATCAGACTGTACCAAGTATTTTCTGAGTGCAGCAACCTACAAGCGTAACACATGTGCGGTCCTATGGCGACGTCGAGCGCAAGCTCCCCACAGTTGTAATCTCGTTTCATGCAAGAAAAAATGAATGGTGCAAGAAATAGCTGTAGAGATATAAGTATTCAGCTCACGTAGGTAATCTTAATTCGTCCGAACAAACTATCTTAACCAGAGAATTCGCTGTAGAAGCTCTGGCGCAAAGCAGGACGTTTGCTGCGTGCATGCAGAAGCTTTGGGCGCATTGCCAATAGCGAAGAACCGAGGCCGGCATGCATGGCAATTAATTGGCTAACATTTATCTCACGCTCAGTCACTATATGTAGTGCAGACAAATGGGCTCGAGTATTATTTTATCGTCTGTCTTCTTAGTAAATATATGTTTATCGTCGTCAATGTAGGAGCAACAAAACGACCACGAAGTGAAAGCGAATTTAATAAGTGAAAGTGCATGAACCCGCAGTCTGCGTAAAGCAACTCCAATGAAATCATGAAAAGTAATTATGCCACGTTAAAGCTTGTTAAGCTGTGTTGACGATGACAGCAATTACGGACTTGTTTACAATGAAATAACACGTCCCGTTGCTCTCTTTCATACAGCGAGCAATTTCTTCTTCTTCCTCCTCCTCCTTCTTTTCCTCCTATTCCTCCTTCTAATCCCCCTTCTTCCTCTTCTAATCCCCCCTCCTCCTCCTTCTCTTTCTTCTTCTTCTTCGTGACGACTTTAAAAACAAGCGAGGCCTTCTTAAACTGAAGCCTGTCGCTTTGAACGCGTAAACACAGCAGTAAAGCACGAGGAAAGCTGAACGACCGCTCAACTACGAGCGCGTTGACGTAATACTCGCACTGATCCTCTGGTTTGGCTGTACACGTCGTTCGACAAGGCACACGCATGCGACACGTTCGCCTCGTGATAGTTTCCTACAAACGTGTCTCTGGACATTTAAACCCGCATACTTCTCTCTCTCTCTCTTTATTTTTGAGATCACCGTTCACTCAACGACCGAGGCTGCTCCTGTATTTTTTTCAAGCAGGGCAAACCGCAAAGAAATGCAAACTATGACAAGAAGAAGAAGATGGAGAAAATGCCCACTGATCGCGAGCGCTACTGCGTATGCTAACGAAGTATAGATGCTAATCGGCAACAGCACATAAAACACTCCCGTACTACACATAGCCCATGCACATGCACAGTGGACCGCCATACATGCTCACAGTTGCATTTCGCGTATGCTGTAACAGTCTGCGTTTCAAACTAACCGCTGCCGTGTGACGATATTTTGGAGCCCTCCCTGCTATTATGTGCAGTAGTGCAGTGTAGCGCATTGCTTTTGCTGAAACCCGACCCTGTGCACGTTATACCCATGTACAGACGAAGCGCCCATGCATAACTAAACACTACCAGTCCTTGCTAATTGTCACTGACATTAGATATGCTTCTCGCGCAACGGAACGCAATCACACTCAAGCACCGTCCCAAGCAGAACATTAATTTTTATATGTAGCTTTGCTTTCTTTTTTTCCTTTTTATATATATATATATATATATATATATATATATATATATATATATATATATATATATATATATATATATATATATATATATATCACTGTAAAAGCATGAAGGCGCACCAACGCCGTTACAAAGTGCTGGAGAGAAGCGCACTCTTTTGTCAGCGCCATTTATATCGCTCTTGTTTACGTATCGATGCACCTGCTATACTTCCTGTCGAAGAAGACATAGAATCTCAGGGTTCGGGTATTTAAGCTTGACCACGGGTCCACAAACCCTTTACAGTAGTCACGCAAAAATTATGGTGGAATTTGAATAAAAGCAAAAGCTCTATAGTGGCACAAGAGGTATGTGAGAGAAACCGCATATAGGCGGGAGCTCTGTATTCATTACGGTTTTCAGGAGTTACTTAGCAAGCATTTCAGTGCAAGTTCACGCATCATGAGCGCTTCGTTTACGTGCAGGTGTACACGATTCCTGTAAAGGAGTTGCAACCTCGAAAACAGCTGTGACAGAACGTTATATGCCGATAGAGTCACTGGGGCGGGAGTAGAATGAGAAAGAAAAAAATTATCTCTGTATTTGGTTGCTGTTTTTTTGCAACATACGGTTTCCTTTTTGTGCCCGCAGGGGGTTTTAGAAACCCGGTGGACCCATTTAACCTGTTAAATGACATCCTTACAAACATCCCGGGTCTAGGATCGGCAGTGGGAGGCCCACATGCCGGCGCAAGTAAGTCGAGTTCTCGTCGCTCCATCTATAGGCCTTCCTTCACATCTTGTTTATCACGTGTGTGTGCCGATGCATGCAAGTTTGGCAAGACACGGATCATCGCTTACACACTTGGGGAAACGTCTTCCGCGCTTCCTCCCACTGTGCATCATCTCTGCTTACAAGCTGCCTTAGGAAGAAGAGTCTGCTCCATGCTTCGGCTTAATAGGGGAGGGAGGCACTGTTATGAACCTGCGCCCCCCCCCTCACCCTTCCTACGCACGCTTTGCTTATCGCAAAAGCGTATAGACGTATTTCGAGTCAATAGAGAGTTTTAGTACTGCGTACGTGGCGGCATTGCGTACGCAAGGACGCCACGTTCTGCGTAGTGCGCATGCGCAGACCGCAACGCGCACGTGTCGCATTACGTACGCTGCCGCTACGTACGCACGCATGAGATGCGTGCGTGCGTACGTATGAGGTGATCGCGCCGCTCTCGAACAAGTTCGCGACAGCGCGAGACTGCGTTTTGCAAAATGGCGGCATCGAAGGCAAGCACCGACCGGCTCTATGGCTTAAAATATGGCCACAATCTGGCTATAACACTTGGACTGGCTCACATTGGCTGTCAACAACACGTGATTTTGATATACCAGATGGCGCAACACACTTCACGCTCGTTACGTACACGGGTACTACGGCGTACTAAAAGCCGATTAGTGGCAAACGACGCCACGTAACGCAAGGCGCTTGCGTGATGCGTACGTAGCACCATTCCGCAGTACTAAAACTCTCTAATATGCACACTCAGTCACTGGCCGCTTAAGACAGATCTTTACAGCTCTACACAAGACAGTAAGTACTGCTACTCACCTGTGAAGAACTACATACCTGCTTGGTTTGGGCTTGCACTTAATCCATTATTTACGTCGCAATGAAGCTCTAGATTCCCAGAAGCATACACGCTAAACCAGTGTGCGGAAACAGCTGTATTTACATCTCACACGCAGTTCTTTTCTCGTCAATCCACTCAGCTGACGCTGAACAATGCTCTCGCTTTTAATGACGCTTATATGAACTATAGCAAGCACGCATAATTCCCTCGCTTCAAGATTTGCTCGCCATCGTGTCACCGCTGAGAATGCCGGGAGATGGACGCTGTTCCCCACTGGCTTGTGCACTAGCAGCGTGAACTGGTGAACAAGTAAGAAAACGAGGAAATCATGACTTCTTTTTTTTTTTCAGCGCAAAAGCGTGATATACTAGGGGGTTTTAGAATAAGGTGCGCAAAGCGTCGCGTTAGCGCTTGCTGCCACCGCGCATGTGTCATAAGCTATCTGCATGGGTACCGACGTTAAGTTACTATAATAGCGCATCGTACCCAAGCAACGCTAACAACGCTAACGCCAAGAAACCTATTCTAAAGCTGTCTATTGTGTTAAGTGGAACATGGCAGCGCATAGGACACCTTTTCCGAAATTATAGTCTCCCATTATGCCAAATCAAACCAGAAAAGGTACAGTTCGCTCAATAGCATGTCACCGTTGGTTGAGTGGAAAGAAAGGGCTGAGTTTACAGCCGAATTTTTCAACAGAGGAGGAGTCGATATCGGTGAGTTGGGGGATCATTATGTGAAAAATGTCAAGGAGGAACAAACGCACACTATTCGCTGAGGAACCTGTTGCCCGACCAAGCACTTATTTTGTCGTGTGTGCATCTCAGTTGGACCGTTTCGCCCCTACGGAGTCACCATCCCAGGCGTGCATTCGCTTGAGGACTATATGCGCTTCCTAGGATTCCCACATCAAGGGCTCAACTTTGGAGCGTTACCAGGTAAATCGGTATTCCGGGAAATAGCATGCCCTTCGTTTGCATGAACTGTATAGCGAGTAGACCCGCGTCATCACGGTGTTACGACTTACGGCATGCCGAAGTGAGCATGTTTGAAGCTACTATGCGCGTCCCGCGAAAAAAGAAACCGTTCTAAGTTACGCTCTATAAGTCTGTCAGTTTTCTCGGGTAAGTGTTGTGTTCAATGTTGCCCGTTTTCTCCGAAAGCGAAGGGCGCGTGGTGGTTAGAAATAGAGTAACGGTTTGTGAAGCACGTTGTAGCTACAAGTGTTTTTTTCCCTGGCATTTATGAACCAGAATGCAAGCATTGGCGCTGTTTTGAAAGAAAGCAAGCATGCACGTTCAGTAAAATTCTGTTTAATGACTTGGCGCTATGCCTCATTGAACAAGCAGCTGGCAAGGTCGATGCTTTTGTTCCACTTGACCAATACGCTTTCTGGACTCGACTTTGACAACCATGCGAAACGCGCCGGAGGCCTCTTGCGCAATCAAACGAAGGCGGCAGCCCTTAACATGGCGTGACTTGCTAGCAATGAACGAGCGTACGAGAAAATAAAAAAATGAAATAAATGATATATAAGGCACTGACACAGCACGGCCTACCTAAATGTAAATAAGCAGCGCGTCGGCTTTAATTTCCGTTTGGGCTGCCAGCCAAACGTCAATGTCTTACTCTTGAATATTGCGCTGTCAGATTCGAAGGCCAATAGTAGGCCCTTCTTTTCAACGCGGCAAGTACTTCTATGCCTTTTCCGAAAATGAACAGAGGCATCACGGATTAGGCGTTCGTCTGTCTAATATACTATCGAGAATGCATGATTGCACTAACTTCGGGAAAAGTAATTACAATCTCTCATTGCATAATTTTGCCAAAGCTTTAGTTTTGTCAGAACTCGAACAAAAGATGCAGTGTATTATAATCTCAGGAAAATAGGCTAACCTGTCTCGTCGTAATACAACAAGACGTGAAACGGTACGTGACTTCGTGAGCTAAACTTAAACTTTATTACCTGTAGCAAGCGTTCAGCATTGAATACTATGCTCACTGCACACTATAATCCTACAATCGTCCGAGATCGAGAGAAGAATCACGTGGCCAATTTTCGGAGAGTCCCGAAACGCGTTAGTGATCGTCTTTCGCTATACTTGTCGACTGTATAAGACTAACAGCCAACCCTCTTTCTCTGTTATCGACGCTGTCTATACGTGCTATGCAGACAGGTCGAACCATGCCAAATGTGTGTTCGTAGATTGACTCTGTGCCCGATTACGTCACAGGCCCTTACGTTCCTACGATACCCCATTTACCACACGGTGGCAGCTTCGGATTTCCAATCAATCCCCAAGGCATTCTGCCAGGTATACACATGCATGGGCCAGGTCGCCTCACCAGACCGGTCGACGAGTGGGCCTGTGTGTCAGCTCCTTCCTAATGAATGTAACTTTCATTCACTGCCGACGCAGGACCAGAACCACATGTTCCGCACCAGCCCTTGCCGCCTCATGGTGGTGGCGGCTCGGGATACCCCATTAGGCCGGACAACTACTTTCCAGGTGGGCTTTGATGTTTATTTGTCTATATTTTTCATTGTTCGTTGAAATTGGGTTATTCAGCTTAGAATAAAGAAATGAGAATTTTATCGACTCGTTTTCATTTGTTCGATGCTATATTAATGTGCATTAACAGATAATACTGCCAAGGAATGTACAGGGGATTTTCATGTAGTAATTATACTTGATCCGAATGTGGTGAAAGTAAATTAGACTTTCTGCCGACAGAACCAAACCTGCAAACTTCGAATGCAACGTTATAATTGGAAAGTCACTGGTTCGGTCCTCTATACTAACAGATGTTTTATACTTTCCTTGGCGCTAATGTCTGCTAGATCTCACTGACATTGTTATTCGACTAAAGAGTAGGGGTGGAGAGGAACGGGAAAGCGCCCGACTTCGAGTCAAAGCGAAAACGCTGGGACGGCTTTATGCTCTCCCATAGTAGAGTACCAAGTACTCTAAATCGTTACCCCTTTTTCCTAAATACGCTCGACAGAAGTTTACAAGGATTGGACGCCCGAATTAACATCCTATAGGAGAGCCTGTAAACGTTTCTAACATGGTTCTCTTCAATTACACAGCAGTAAGCGCAGAAGTACCAGCATGGTTGTCGCGTTCATCTCAAACGTGAACATATAACATTCACGTTGTGCTCACGAGGTTCTCACGTATTACATAATGGCTGGACTCCCTCGGATGCACAGTCGGCAATGTAAAGCAGTTTCATTCATGATAGGCCTCTATGAACACTGTGTAATGTGTTGCTAGCGAAATACTGGCTCTCGTATTATTTTCAGGTCCTAGATGTTATGCAGCATATTGTTCTCCACCCGAGACGCTTGCTTGCAGCACATTACTACCGTGACTACAGCAAGCTAGGTAGGCTGGGACATGCGCTATCGCCATCTTGTTTACTTCGCAATAGCAGCATTAGTGTCCCGTTCTTACGACGTACAGTACGTCAAGCTATGATAATATTATGAGGCATAATAGAACGGTGGTCTCCGCATTAATTTTGCCCACTCGAGGTTATTTAACTAGCCTGGCACGCAAGTAATTTTTCCACTAGATCTGCCCCTGTCGGGGTGCGACCATCGCGGACGATATCCAGACCCCGACCACGTGTTGGATAAGCACTACGGACGCTGCGTTACTGAGGTGCGTCTTTTGATACTATTGCTGGATTATAACACAAACACCTTAACGGGGGAAACGGTCGACCCTATGTCATCCGTTGGCGTAATGCGGGCATGTCATGCTCAGAAGCAGCGCTTCGCAACGGTACACGCGTTCCATCGAAGCAGTGAATACGCGTTTTTTGGCCGACTGGGCGGTTGTAATGGTCACGGCCGCACTGCATCGCATCTGTAGCGTTCCAACGTGGTCGTGAATTGAGCATATCGTCGCCCCATAGCTTAACAGAGTGTCAAACAGAGAGCGATAATGCAGCACATTTTTTAAAGAAAGAACTAGCAGTACGTTGAAACACTTAGAAAGACTTGAAAAAGAGAGAAAGAGAGAGAATGATAGCAAAACAACTGAGAGGTTAACCGGAGGTAGTGACCGGTTTGCTAACATGCATTTAGGAAGGGGGAAATGGGATGCAAAAGGAATGAGAGAGAAGAACAACTTGCAAAAGAAGTGCCAAATTCTGGCTAACGGGAGCATCAGCGTCACTGTTTCGACGGCCGGCTTTCACGAAATGGAGCAGGCTGCATTTTCCCTCGATGCGAAATCAGCTCGATGTCTCTACCGGGCACGGGGCACCCGCTGTGTTGTATACACCCGTGACCTGTGTAGGTTGCGCAAGTCGCTCGTTCCCCTGTCCGGCTCGTTTCTCTCTCTCTACTCAACCGGTCGTTCTCTTGTCGCGCAGACGTGGGACCCCAGCAGCCACACGGGAACTCCCCCGGAACCGGGCCGGTCCCGCCTCAACCGGGAAGCGGCGGTGAGTATACGGAGTGCACGAGAGGACGCCGCACCCGTACGGCGACTTAGAAGTGTGGCAGCTTGGGCTAGTTGGTATGGCATGACGATAGTTATAGCGCGAGATCAAAACGACGACACAGAGACAAGAAGGACACGAAAGACACGAGCGCTAACTTCCAACCACATAGAGGAGACAGTAACCGTGTGTCACATGGTTACTGTCTCCTCTATATATTTTCGTGCTCTGCGCAATAAACTCAGTCGGAAGTTAGCGCTCGTGCCTTTCGTGTCCTTCTTGTATCTGTGTCGTCGTTTTGTTCTCGCGCTATATAACTATCGTCGTACGGCGACACCGCGCAACGAACACAAGATCGCGACGTTGAACCACTGCGCATCGCGCGTTCGGGACAGATGGGTGGAAGAGCAACGTGCAGGAAGAAAGGCGGCTGGGATAGACATGTCTCTGTCGTCTCCTCCCCTTTCTCTCTGTCCGTGCTTTCCGTTCCAGAAAACATGACAAATTTTCTCCGACCGATCTCCGAACCAGTTTCACAGGGAATGACTCTGCGGATGAATCAAGCATAGTGACGCCACGACCGTGGCAGTTGACTAGTCACGAGCAATCATAACTTATAGACTTGAATTCACACCGCGTAAGCCCACGACGTTCTGACACATAAGTGATTGTTTTATTAACTGCCGAAGCCCATAGCCAGAAAATGTTTTCATGGGGGAGGGGTAGGGCACTTGTTGAGGGCTTTGAAAAATACCTATTTTCATTACTTATTCTCATCAAAACACCACGCTTCATTTAAAGTTCCAGGAATGAGGGCTATAGGCCCCGACTTGGCTACAGTCCTACCATTGAAGTAGTACCCGATCGGGCGGGCGGGTGGCTCAAAATCACCAAAAAATTTTCTTTTCAATTTTGCATGTGACACGCGCACATACAAGCCCTCGCAAGCACGTATTATATAAGGTGTACTTTAACCGTAACGCCCCCCCCCCCCCCCCAAAAAAAAAATTTTCCGGCTACTCCGCTGGTTACACCGCGTAGTATTCTCTACTATTCATCAATTACTATCTAGATGTTATCATTTATAGTTTACTATAGGATGTTACGTTGTGTCCGCCGTGATGGTGTGTAGTGGTTACGGTGCTAGGCTGTTGTCCTGAAGGTCGCGGATTCGACCCCAGCCGCATTTCGATGGATGCGAAATAATGGATACCCGTATATTGCACCACGTCAGTGCATGGTAAGTTACAACCGATGGTCGAAATTTCCGGTGCCCTTCACCAAGGCGTGCGTCGTCATCATATCATGCTTTCGGGACGTAAAACTCTATGATTAATAAAACATCATACTAGAAAAAAAAAACCTGGAACCACGGAGCTAGGGAAAGTTTTAATTGAAGGGTAAAATCCTTCACACCTTTAGGAGCGTTTGCACGCTTTATTTATTATCCCAGCTGCCAAAATTTCCACACGAAGAGGATGTCTAGGATGACCTTGAATGACGCCTAATTAAGAGCAGGATGTTTGCGTGAACCGGTGCGCCCTTAGCAAAAGCCAGCGTAGTCACCTCGTTAGGTCACCGCTACAGCCGTACATCCTCTCGTCGTGCCACCATTGCAAACTTGTCACTGCGCAAGTAAATTAACGGAGCTACAAAGGCGTGTACTGTGCAGACCGATCATTAATTTTATCGGTGCACCTCAGGAAACACGCTTGTGATGATATCGGTCTCGCTCGGCTCGCAGACTTCCCCTTGAAGTGTGCTTGGCGTGTGGTCTTCTGTTGTGACGTTCGTTCATACTTCGTGTCACTCAGCCTCGTTTCTTTTCTTCGCACCCTTTATTTATTTTTTTTTCTTTAAAGAAGTCGTCGTGCTCGCGTCTCCGCGCAGGCGTTAACACAGCTGCTCGACATGGTGGCCACGAGGCGAAACTAATCGCGCGGAAAGTCGACGCCGCCGCCAGATGATTGCTAGGCGTGGAAAGTAATTACTTTTTTACGCCTAAAAAAGAAACTGCCCCTCGGTTTATTGGAAGGTGAACCTACGCACTCCTCCTCCATCCATCGTACACTATACAGCGCTGAAGAGAAAGTTGCCGGCGCAGTCTTAAGCGAAGGTCGCGCAGGCGAAAGGCCTCCGGGCGCTACGACGTAGTCATGCACGTCGCAGAAGGTCCCCGAAAGAAGAAAGCGAAATTCGCGACCGCCGCGTGCCGCCCTACATCGACCGTGGCGGGATTTCCCGTTTGAAAGCTCGAGGCGTCCTTGGCCTCGGAGAGAGGCGAACGCGGTCATGGGCTCTTCGAGGGTGTTCGGTTTCCCCCGGAACCAAAAGGGTGTTACCTAGGAGGATTTTAAAAAATTGCTGAGTGGAAATGGTTGCGCAGAAGTGAAGCCGTTCCTCTGGCAAGATGGCGGTTGTGGCGGCCATCTTACTAGGGGCATGATAAAGTACCACCGTTCAGCAACTAAAAACGAAGCGTTTCCCTGCGAGTTTAATGTGGGAATTTTTCGGGTAACATAGTGCTCCATGCAAGTGCGTTTTACAGTTACTAGTTTTCCTTAGTGAGCCTGTAATTGGAGGCAAAGTTCTTTGAAGATTCAGTCATCCATACTAGTTTCTGTATGTTATAGAACTAACGCAGCATTTACATAACATATCAAAGCCACTTGATCTTCAAGTGGGCACTATCATAAAAGAGCATGTTTCCGCCATCTTGGCAGTGGCAAAAGCTGGCTTCTCTTCTGCTGGCAAGGCAATGCAGGAGCTTCCACTCCAGCAATTTTTCTTTAATCCTCCTTGGGTGTTACCGTTGAAGCGACCCGGCGCGACGAGCATGCTGGGCAATCGAGATTGACTGGCGTGGCTGTGAAAGAGATCGCGGCATCACTTTCTGATGCCAAATTTTCCTTCGTTTTCTTTTTCGTTTCGAGTTTGTGGAAGAGCAAAATCGCGGATTTCCTGTCTATCTCGTTGTGCAAATGGAGTAACCTCGTTTACCAGATGACAGAATGGAGGCATCATTAGCCAGCATCATGGCCCACCCAGTGCTAAGTTTCAGAAAGTTTGCGAACCGTTCAAGCGTTTCGTGAGATACAAAGTAGTTCGTACGCGACGACAATTTGTTTTTAAAAGAAAAATAAAATACGCTCGCCTGTCGCGATCCCGGACATGCATAAAGGATCAGTAACAGGCGGTGGGCTCGTCACGAACGCTTCGGTTAAATGAAGAAAAAAATGGCGCACCTTGTGAAAAAGTCGCGCATGGCTTGAGACACCACAGCTGGACGATTCCGAGGCCCAATTTGGTTTCTGTTGCTCTGATAGCTACGTGACGCTATTATGCTAGGTTTCTTCCGAGTTCTTTATAGGCTTGGTCTATAGGCGAGAAGCCGTTTAATTAACTCTAGTTTTGTCTAGTCAGCGGGACTTTAAGCGGGACGACTCAGTGTTCCCCCATAGTTGAGTACGAAGTACTCGAAATCGTTAAACACTTTTCTAAACACACAAACACACATATAGGCGATGCTGGGTTGTTTCTAAGTCGCTTCTATATATGTTCCTCGGCTTTAACTCAGGGATGCTAAAGATTCTTTCTAGGTAATTGCTAGGCTTTTACATAGACGATGCTAGGTTGGCTGTAGGCAGCTGCCAGGCTCTTAGATATGTGGTCTCCTAATTTTCAATTTCTTACTGGGCTTCAGCTTGTTGTCGTTAGGTTGTTTGTAGGCTAACGTCTGTTTTGTTAGACTACAGAATCATCCAGATTCGCTGTTTCAAGCCTCGCGCGACTTAATTCGAGCTTCGCCAGTATTTTTTTTTTCTTTCTATCGTTTTCCCTGTGTGTGTGTGTCACGTCTTCATCTTCACCGAGCAGAGCTTTCGTTTAACGCTCGTACCCTCCTGAAGAGCTTTCAAGACGAAGCACAATTTAGCAATAACTTGAACCACTTCACTGTAGCGAGAACGAAGACAGCGAGGTTAGGTTCATGACGATGATATCTTTTTGATTCATTGTACACACCAAAGCTTTTACAGCAGGCTCAAAACCGCCGCTTTTGGAATAACTGATTTCGGTTCGATGTCATTTCAATTGGCAAAAAATTGAACACAGTGGACACTACTGAGGTCCAATTTAACAGCGAGTTCCCACTGTGTGCACCCCTCTTTGCAGCAATGTCGAAAAAATTTTGTACAGCAATCGCTGGCATCCAAAAAGTAGCCCTAGAAGTGGGTCCGTTATTAAGGCGAAATCCTTAGATGGCTCATCGAACGCCGAAAGTGAGGGTCGATGACAACACGAGCGATGCAAAAAAAAAATCATCATTACGTGACGACAGTCACATAACTTGACGTGTTATGACGATGCCATCACGTGACGTTGTCCTAAACTTAGCAAAAGGTGGTTGAATCACGAAGGCAGTGCACCGCAAAACCACGTCAAACGCAGAGAGCCTTTTTTTTTTTTAAGGCGGGGGGTCAGTGCAGTAGGCTGAGGTGATGGCTTACTCCAACTAGTGAACGCTCTTAGACAAATGCATAAAGTACCACCAGGCTTTATGAGCTAAATATTCCGGAAAGATGGCCGACTGTTAAAGTCAATTTCATTCATGATAGGTCTGTATGAACGCTGCTTAATGCGTTCCTAGCGAAATACCGGCTGTCGTACGATTTGCAGGTCCAGTTGTTCCTCATAGACCGGTAGTTCCGTCGAGACCAACGAATCCGTCAGGACCAGTAGTTCCGTCAAAACCGGTGGTTCCGTCAAAACCGGTGGTTCCGTCAGGACCTGCGGTCCCGCCAACGCCAGTCAACAAGCCAGGCAAGCGGCCAGGACCGGGCGGTGGCAGCAACCCTCCAGGTAATAAATCGGGTATAGTTCAGTGGCGATATTTAAACGGTGGCTTACAATATATATTCTATTGTATTGTATATATTATTTGTTCTAACTCATTTTCAGTCCGCTCTTTTGGAGTAGACTGAACAAGTCTATTGCAGGTCTAAAACTTAGTTGTGCCCTAATGCATAGTCTTAAAGTAGTTCGAAAAGATATTTACTTCCACGATAAATTCATATCGCTCACAACGCTACCAGTGGCGTTACAGCGCATGTTTTGTGCATTGGAACATTCGAAAGCTTGACCCAATTCTACCTCCGCCTTCCCTTATGGATACTGTTCCCCGCTAATCTGAAATCGTACGTTTCGAGAGTCTCTTGCAACTCAAACTAACACATTCATCGCTCTCACTGACGCTGGTAATAATAAAAGCGCGAACGGCAATTAACTTGGCAATGTTTTTCAGTGACCTTTCTTCTCGTGTGTCGCTGCTGTATAGGACTAACAAACACCAATCAACAGCAATTAACAACAGGTGCTTTACTAACATTCGTCGATATCTCTCGCAATAACAGCTCGCCTGTGAATACTAGGACAAGCCATTGCATGCCATTCAACGAAATGGGGTCTCAACTGCACGAAAAAGATTGAGACACCTATGCACTAATGGTCCGAAAACTGAGGAAACAGCACAGCTGTTGGCAGTTACAATCATCCTCAGCTTCCTCTTCCCACCCCCTTGATGTACCTATGCAATGATTTACCATATGCCAGCTCCAGAGCCTCACGATCTTTCATATACTGTACTATATACGAAGGTATGCTATGTTTTTTTTTCTATTCCTTTGTATTCTCTATCGCTTTCTTTCTCTTTATCTCATTCGCTGTTTGCGCCTTTCTTTCTTTCTCTATTTATTTTTTTTCACTTCCATCTTTTCCTAGTTCACTCGCCAATAGCAATGCAATCATATGGTTCTCTTTCTCGGAGCGAGGCACAGCCGTACCAAGTGGTAGCTATAGGCAAGGCGCAGTGCTATCATAGCCAGGCGCAGTTTGCGATCTATGCGATACAGGACGAACAAAAAGTTTTTAACAGTTCCGCTGTCAGAAAGCGTATATACTTTCCTATCAGAGTTGAGAGGTCTGTGTTGGAAGAGTCGATGCCAAATCGCTTTGCTCTGCATTTCTGTCACTGTGCGTAGGGGAGGGGTCCGATGACGGTGCGCCATGCGACGAGTGCGAGGATGGAGAGAACGACTCCTACATCCACTTAATCGACCCGAGAAGAGGAAAGAACTGAACAAGACAGCGCTGGCCGACCTGCTGAGGGACCACCGTGCGCTGTATACGCCTCTCCTCACGTTGCTTTCTGGGCGGAGCTCTTCTATTTCTTCGCGACCCGCTGGAAACGCGCGCATCGGCGAAGCTTAAGAGCAGAAACTAGGTCTTCTTCGCATCACGGACGTCAGCAGAAAGTAAATTGATAAAACAGTGGCATCAAAGCAGAGAACACATCTGCCAACGTTTGTACATCTGTTGAACGTCGTGCACGCAGAATAATCGAGAGATTTGGGAGCTCCGTAACTGCAAGTTCTTGTCGCACTTTTCGCATAGGCGAAGATAGTTTGACGACGACATTCTTGCATAACGATGTACATTGACGCAAACGACGACACAAAAAAAAATGGTAGATTGTAGACGCTATAAAACCTGCTATCCTACTGAGAAGCTCTGTACGTGCGACGTTTGCGAGGTATTAAATGGGTACACACCATTACACCACCATTTGCAAAATTAAGATATAATACTTGGTTCACTCTTTAATCATTTCTTTCCCTTGCTACATATATGAGAGCGTATCAATGTTGTCACGCGCGATACTATATGAAAGAGCTGATATGGCGTGAAAATTCAAAAGCAACCCACTGCTAAAGCACCTTGTTGTTACTGCTGTTGTTTGTTGAAAGAGAAATAAAAGCGTACCCATGCACAGATTGTGTTGTCGATTTGACTACTATCTCGGGCATTCTTTCCAGAAAAAAAATACGATCCCGCAGCTGTCCTTGCAATGGAGGCCGAGGCCTTTCCTTTCGTTCACAGGATTACACCACACACGCTGCCCCGTGTGCATGTGCGCTCAAGAAAACGCACAGCTGTACCACGAGCGTCCCCTCCCATGAATAAAGCATAAATAAAGCCTGACTTGACATGTGTTTGAGGACACGTGACTCGGAGCGTGCTAGTAATACGCATAACTTTGACCGGCAGAGAATGGCGGTAGCAGACAAGAAAGGGTAAATGAAGAAAATAATAGGATCATCTGTATTTCTAATAAAATCGCGGGCCTTCACTTGCGATAGTGCTGAGCTGAAAGAAAGAGGGGCGGCAGAAAAACACTGCAGGTATTTAGACCGTTCAGCGCAGAGCAGGAACCCTTAGCACTCGACGGAGCTTTGATATTCTTGGTAGGTTCTGAGCAAGCCCAGTAATATCGAGGACAGATTCTCAAAGAGACATTAAAATAAAAGAAACCAGGTATATAGTAAACACACCACATCTTTCATGTTGACTTCCTCTATTGTTTCTTAGTCTGAAAAGAGGGGCTCGTCTACACATGAGGAGTTCAAACGCACGGCAGGAGTGCACATGACAGCTCGAAAGCCATCGTTGGCACATCCCCGGCGGTTTACCAATGTATACCTTGCTAAACTTGACGGGGTGTTTAAGACGCCCACAATGAGGAAACATCCTGGGGTCTCTGTTTGTGAACAGTGAAAAAGGCTTCACCCATGCTGGCTGCCACCGAACGCTGCAAGGCGCCGTCATCGGATGGGCATGGCGGCTGCGTTCCCGAGTCTTCGTGCCCCGAACCCCGTCGCGAGAGGTCGGACTCGTGCGTGCTCGAGGACCACGTGTGCTGCCGCCAGGAGTCGAGACCGCAGCGTTCGGCGGCCGACAAAGACCGCATGTTGGCCGTACTCCAGGAGAACAGGCTATGTACACGCAGTCGTCCTCACTAGCCCCCCCTTTTCGACACAGTAGAGAGTCTTAGCGCCGGGCACCACAAGCGGCTTGCGTACGTACTCTCACGTTACTTCGTACTCTCAGCTGCACCCTAACGGGATACAGAGTAACGCAAAAGCTTGCGTACGTATGTCCCTGCGGTAATTTTTATGCTTCATGGGTGCGGCTGGGAATATAAAGGGACGCAAAGGTATGCAAGAGGCTTAAGGTACCAGACACTAAAGTTCTCTAATGTCTTCAGGCGTATCTTTCCTCCTGCACAGCTATATTAGAGAGCTTTAGTATAGCGCAAAAACGCGAACGTGAGGATTTCACGTTGGCGTTACCACTATTTCTGGCATATAGCGTTCAACGCAAACGCACGCAAGATATCCCGTACGTGGGGCAAGATGGCAGTGCCTGTTGAACCGAGAGCCATCCACTTCGAATCTTTAGTCAGCCTGCACTGTTTAACTCCTTCACTCCCAAACACTGGTTGTATTTGATTTAGATTTCAGTAATGAGGCTTCGCCAGCTGTACACTGCAGATAAAAGAAGTACTTTTTTTGAGATACACACTCGATTTACGGTGCAGAAGGCTTTAAAAATTGTCTACAAGATTCGCTCATGTTTTCGGTAGCAACGCAGAGATGGCGACGCTGCACTCATTTACTTGTTTCCAAGATAAGGCGAATGCAGCCACAAATCAAACTGAGCCACGTCTTGAGGAATACTCGATAACGGCATATGTCGAAAGAAAATGATGTGTTTCGTGCTGTCATACGCAACATTGAACCAAACACGGCATGGGGGCGCAGCAATAGTGACTTCGGGTCAACGCGATTTATTGGCGCACTTGAGGTTTTTACAGTACATATAGTGTTTTTATAACTAGATGGCGCTGTAGGTGCTTGCGTTTGCGTTAGCGGGAATGCCTTCCGCTGTACTAAATGACCACGATTTGGCAGACAGCACGTTCCGTTTTAGCGTTAGCGCTGAGAAACACGCTAATGCTAACGTAAGCGTCTTACGATATACTAAAACTCTCTACTATGCTTACCAATAATTTCTGAGCAAACTCAACTGCCTCACTTACTCACATACTATACCGAGCACCAATTATTTACAGTTAGCTAGCTTTGACTATTAATGGCTAAACTGTCGGCTAATATAAGGGATCTCCTGTTATAAGAAAAATGCAATCTCTATTCAATTTTGTTCTGTTCATTCACTTGTCGACCAAGACTTCTCTACGACAGAATAGAGAATCCTGCTCTGTCCTGTTCCCTTATTTATCCGTCTACTTTGGTTGCGTCCTTCACCTTCCTTCAGCATGAACCAACTAGCCCAACGACACGTTCTAGTGAACTACTCGCTGGCTGATTCACATGAAACTGATTCCTACACGGCATAAGTCTGCCAAATTTCTGTTAAATAAACGTAGACCTTAAATGCAATGTAAAGAAAAGCGTTAATTTGTCTCATTGGCGCAGATATAATAATGAAAAATGTTGAAAAACGATGAAAAAGCTCAGATGGATTAGTAAAGTGCACTCCAGGAATACTAAATACAACAGCTGGAGGTGAAGCTTCTGATGTAAAAAAAAAGAAATAACGCCGAAACAAAAATCGCAGGCCACAGTACGGTTCCGTTGGCGTAATAGAATACTTTGCTCAATTCATTGTGAAGTCAGTTACTGTGGCAGAGTATTGCTACGGTAGTAGTGTCCCGCTAAGTTCTTAGCACAATCATACTGTGCTGAAAAATTAACTGCACTTAAGGCAACGGTTTACGCTTCTCGTGCCCTTAAGGGGATCATGTACTAGAAAATAGATGTGTAGCTCTTAATTTCGCACACATATCTCACCCCATGTAGTTCATAACTGATAAGAGAATAGCTTGCTTTGTGAGGCATACAAAATTATATTAAGCGCCAAAACAAGTGAAACGAAGCTCCGAAAACACACCGGCTACATCCTTAACTAAATTGTCGTGCTCGCGTTGCGAATAAACCTCTCCCTGTTAGCAAACATAGTGACGCCACTGTGAGCACTCCGCCCACCATACCCTCCCTCGTAGCATGGGCCGGCTGGAGAGAAAGTTCCACCGGCGGCATCTTTCTGCATAGCAGAGTTGCGTGTGTCTGCAATCCTTCGACAGAAATTTCTGCACTGCTACGTTCTAAAGTCGCAGCTTTTCAAAGGAAGGGTCACTACCTACAGTGCATAATTCTGTTAACATGCGAAAATTTGCTTGTTGAGATGACAGCTATGTGAAAATCTTATCCTTTTCGAAAGCGAACGTTTTGCATGTACACGGTTACTGGCACTTTGAGAACTATTTGCATGGCATGGATGTTAACTTACACAATTTCGATCACGGCACGTGTAACGCAGTTTTAAACGAGGAACAGCATTGGCATCAGCATGGTTCTGAGCTACTGTGCGGGAAGTAACGGAAAAAATTCCCAATCATTGCGCAAAATTCTGATCGCAGTTGAATGAAACAAAAAAATAAAACACTTTTTGCTATGTGTTAGGCTGAGGTCAACATACCCCGTGAAAATTACAGCGACATTTCGCCCCATCATGTCTCATAACCCACTGAAAATTCATGCTATTTGAAACCCGATAACTTAATATACATAATATATTGCGCAGTTTCGTCGCTGCATTTGATGCCCATATACAAGGTGTTTGCATACCTACACTTCCCCATAATAAACCTGCTGGACAACCTTGTAATGTGCATATTCACTCCACTGTTTTTACCAAGACGTATCGGGTCTCTGATGATACGAGTTATACCTTTACTGAATTTGCGTATTCGCCGTGGTGAAGTGTATATGTAGATTCAGCGATGCTACATTATGCCGATAGCTCATACGTATTCACATCTTTCAACACATCACGCCCACCCCCTTTTTTTTCTGCACACCACGCAAATTGCGATAATCACGTCAAATGCATTTTACCTTGACTAAATTGTTGAATCGAGATGTTCCGTCGACAACTGGTCACTGCCACCCCGGGCCACAATGATTATCAGTGTTTTCGCAAATAAGACTCATCATTGTTCACACTGCACACACCACGCACAATATTCTCACTCAGTTTCACCATCCGTACAAGTAAACAAATATTCTCGATGCTTTTCCACGCACACTATACACCACAATCAACGCCGCACATTTTCGAAGACGATGCCGCTCTTCCTCACACAGGCGGCCACGTGTGTTCACTTCTCCAAGATAAACAGCCAGCCAGCGTGGCAAATATTTCATCACGCAGTTTACCACCCACCCGGAAGTTCTTTGACATTTACCGCAGGTGATGTCGTCATTGTAAGATGAAGTTTAAGCTTTCAAAAAGGAAAAAAAATGTCCCAAACATCACGCGACTGTACCTTAGTCGGCAACCGGCGAGATTGTTTTGCCAACAGCCGCTTTGCACGTGCACCGGTGATGTCACGCTGTGATGTACCCCGGTAGAGGTTTTTAGAAAAAAGGCTTTGTAAATACACGTCAGCGTTGCACCAACGAGTGAACCCATTCCAGTATGTGGCAGGAATCCCCCCGGAAAACACGGCAAGAAACGGTTCCCGGTTCATTACGTGCTCGGAGGAAGGACCGTCCGCAGTCACGGAGAGTACCCGTTCGTGGTAAGTGGCTACACTGCTATGTCTAAAGCGTGCATTTTATATTGTGCATTCATATCACCGAACTCTCCCCTCTAATGTACCTGACGCGTCTGCGATGGCATCTTACATATGAACGAGATTGGGTTAACTGTTCAAGAAGCCACGCAATTAAGGAAGCTTACCCACAAACGATATCACATTGCAAAGGAGCAACCTTTCACGAATGCTTTATAAAGATGCACAGAATTCAGCGTCTCATCGCATTCAGAGCAATGCGAAGACGGGAGATTCAGCAAGCACTTTGGGGGAGCTACGTCATAAAAAAATGGCTTCTTCTAAAGAACAGCGTATTTCGGAGACGCGAAATTTAATAAAACGTTTGGGACTCACGCACTAAAGTCGGCTTCTCCTCATCATGAAGCGTAATGTGGGGAAACTAGCTTTTAAAAACTTTCACGGGGCTATTTACGTATGGCAGCTTCTCCTACGACAGCACCGTATTGTAGAAAAGCAAGCTTTGGCGACGACTTCTGCCTACTCCGACTCACTCATGAAATATTATTTGGCCGTAAGGCTCACTCGGGCTCAGACTCACCAAAACACTCCTCAATCGGACTCACTTGAGCTCACACGCATAGTTTTTTTTAACTGGACTGACACGGTCTCAAGCTTTCATAATATTGCTACGGGGCGCCACAAATGAACATTTTAGAAAAGAGGATGATGTTTAGCGCGAGCTCGTGCAGACCGGGCTCCATATTGTATGCCTGCCTGTTTACCTAAAGTAAAGGTATTTTTCACATGCCTTCTCCTCGTAACATTTTGGTGGAGAGTGCGGGTCTTCCCACGGTCATCACCACGACGATTCTACGCAGCGGACGTTCCTTGGCTGCCTGTGCGATGCCTGATCAAGACGAGCACGAGGATTCTTCGGAGACTACCCCAACCGTGCTTCGTCCAACTACGCAGCAACCAACAGCACCGCATCCAGCTGCTACTAACCGCACCGTCGTCCTGACTCAACTGCGTGACCCAGGCACATTTTCGGGCAGTGACAGTACTGACGTGGAGGAATGGCTTCAGCTGTACGAAAGGGTGAGCGCTCTTTACAACTGGGATCCGACGCTCATGTTGGCCAATATTATTTTCTACCTCGATGGTACAGCTAAAGTTTGGTTTTCCAACCACGAGGAAGATATCACGAGTTGGGACATCTGTAAGCAGAAACTCATTGATCTCTTCGGCAAGCCCATCGGGCGTCGTCGTGCTGCACAGAAAGAACTAGCGTCCCGACTCCAGTCCGGCACCGAGTCGTACGTCACATACATACAACATGTGCTCGCCCTCTGCCGGAAGGTTGATGACAAGATGCCGGAATCTGAAAAGGTCGCGCACATCCTCAAAGGAATCGCCGATGACGCCTTCAATCTCCTCGTATTTCAAAACTCATCGACCGTAGACGACGTTATTAATGAATGCCGACGCTTCGAAGACGCGAAAAGTCGCCGTATCACTCCACACTTTTCGCGTCTTCCCAACACGGCTGCAACATCAACCTGCGAGGCCGCCCGTTTGGCACCAGCCCCTGCTGATTCCGACAATATCGTGCGCATCGTGCGCCACGAAATCGAGGCAGCATCTCCCCTGTCTGACCAAGTCCAGGCCCCTGACGACTCTCGCGCCACGATTTCTTTAATCAAGAGTGTCGTACGCCAGGAACTGGCCTACGCCGGACTTCAGACGCTATGCCCCATTAACCGACCTGACTACCGACTGCCCAGTACACCTAATATATCCCGCGGACCGAACAACCGCCCACGTTACCGGAACCCGGGAGAATGGCGAACTTCCGATGACAGGCCGATCTGCTTCAACTGTGGACGAGTGGGCCATATTTCACGTCATTGCCGCACTTCCTGGGGTTGGCAGCCATGTTCGCATTATGCCAACACCCGACGCCCACCTGCTGGCTCTCGGATGCCGATATACAAGGCACAAGACGATGCTTCGCCATCCAGGCCCGCCCAACCAAGCCGCTCCCCATCGCCCTCTGGACGCATGTCCCGCTCAACTAACCGACGTCGCTCCCCCTCGCCCTCCTACCACCAGTCCTCGGAAAACTGACGGGCGCAGCTCCTAGAGGTGAGCCTGCTTCGACGACCCGACCCAAAATTCCTCTACACACGATACCCGGACACAACAACTTGATTAAAGTAAATGTTGACGGTACTTCTGTGGCAGCACTCATTGACACCGGCGCTCACATATCAGTCATGAACTCCAGCCTTTGTGCTCGACTGAAGAAAGTGCTCACTCCTGCTCCGATCACTCTTGTCCGAGTAGCTGATGGTACAACACCAGCGGTCACCGGGATGTGTGCCGCCCGTGTCACTGTTGCTGGACGTCATACCACTGTTCTGTTTTACGTACTGGACCACTGCCCACATGACATCATATTGGGACTCGATTTTCTGTCGGAGCATTCCACCCTAATTGACTGTTCTGCTGGTGTTGTTCAGCTCGTCCTACCACAAGCCGTTGACCCTCCTGATCCTGCGCCACCAAAGCTATGCTCCGCCGACTTTGTTCGCCTATCTTGTCGAGCTGTGACGTATATTGACGTCTCTTCTGATCCACCTGTGGCTGACGGCGATTATGTCATTTCACCTAATCCTACAGTACTCTGTTCGCTCAATGTTGCGTTCCCCCACACCATCATCACAATGAAGAACAACGTGACATGTCTCCCTATTGTGAACTTTGGACTTTGCTCTGAAGTGCTGCCACGAGGAATATCCCTTGCAACCCTTGCCCCGGCCGGCGACTACCACATATCGGCCTTAACAGAGGATACACCGTCATCTGCAAGTATTCAGTCGTGCAGTACACTAGACTGCATAACTGGAATGATTGCCTCTGATCTCCCGGCCGAGCATGGGTCTGCGCTTCGTGGCCTTCTTGCGTTGTATCAAGACGTCTTTGATCTCTGCGACCGACCCCTAGGTCAAACGACCGTCGTAAAGCATCGGATCAACACCGGTGATGCAAATCCAGTACACCGGCGACCCTATCGAGTTTCCTCCACCGAACGCCACGTGATCCAGCAAGAAGCCGACAAGATGCTTGCCCGAGACATCATTGAACCTTCTTCAAGTCCTTGGGCTTCGCCCGTTGTGCTTGTGAGAAAGAAGGATAACAGCTGGCGCTTCTGTGTCGGCTACAGAAATCTTAACAAGGTTACAAAAAAAAGACGTGTATCCTCGGCCGCGGATAGACGACGCTCTTGACTGCCTTAGTGGAGCAAATTATTTCTCTTCCATCGACCTTCGTTCCGGGTACTGGCAGATATCAGTTGATGATCTGGACCGTGAAAAGACGGCATTTATAACTCCCGACGGGTTCTATCAGTTCAAAGTAATGCTGTTCGGGTTTCGCAATGCCCCGGCTACATTCGAACGAATGATGGACGCTCTTCTTCACGGTTTCAAGTGGTCAATCGGCTTATGCTACCTTGATGACGTCATTGTTTTTTCGCCAACTTTCGAAACTCACCTCGAGCGTCTCTCAACAATTCTTTCGGTTTTCCGCAAAGCAGGGCTCCAACTAAACTCGTCAAAATGTCACTTCGGCCGCCGGCAGCTCACTGTCCTTGGACACCTTATCGATTCTTCTGGTGTTCGTCCCGATCCTGAGAAAATCCGTGCCGTCAAAGATTTCCCTGTGCCGACCTCTGCGAACGATGTTCGAAGCTTTGTGGGCCTTTGTTCTTACTTTCGTAGATTTGTGCGGAATTTTGCTGACGTCGCACGACCGCTCACGGAACTACTAAAAAAAATGTGACTTTTGTGTGGGGACCTGAACAAACCAGAGCATTCGTTGAACTGACGAGTAGACTTACGACGCCACCGATTCTCGGCCACTTTGATATATGTGCTCCAACGGAAGTGCGTACCGACGCCAGCGGCCACGGAATCGGAGCCGTTTTGGCACAACGACAGCATGGCTGCGAGCGCGTTATTGCATACGCTAGCCGTCTTTTATTGCCAGCAGAGCGAAATTACTCCATCACAGAACGCGAATGCCTCGCACTCGTCTGGGCAGTGGCTAAATTTCGGCCGTATTTGTATGGACGCCCGTTCACGGTTGTCACTGATCACCACGCCTTATGCTGGTTGTCATCCTTAAAAGATCCTAGTGGACGTCTCGGGCGGTGGGCTCTGCGGCTACAGGATTATTCCTACACGGTTGTCTACAAATCAGGTCGCCACCATGAGGATGCTGATTGCTTGTCGCGTCATCCAGTAGACCCAGCAAACCTTCCTGAGAGTGATGAGTCTACTTACGTTTTGGCCCTTTCCGCGTTTAGCAACATCGGAGATCAGCAACGCCGTGATCCTCACCTCAGAGATATAATCCTTCGGCTTAGTGGTCCCACAACTCCTCCGTCTCTCCGTATGTTCCTGCTCCAAGATGGCGTCTTATATCGCTACAGCATGCATCCTGACGGACCTGAGCTGCTGTTGGTCATACCACAACATATGCGTCAGACTCCTTGCACAGTCGCATGATATACCGACAGCTGGTCACCTGGGAGTTTCAAGAACTTATGACCGCGTTCGACGTCGCTTCTTTTGGCCCGGTATTTACCGATCCGTCTGCAGTTACGTAGCCTCATACAAATCTTGTCAACACCGCAAAAAACCAGCAACCCTTAAAGCGGGACGCCTTCAACCCATTCAGATCCCATCCGAACCATTTTATAGGGTAGGTGTCGACTTACTAGGACCGTTTCCTTTATCGGCCAGCGGAAACAAGTGGATAGCAGTCGCCACGGATTACACCACTCGGTATGCCATCACACAGGCCCTTCCTACCAGTTGTGCGACCGACGTCGCTGACTTTCTTCTAGAAGACGTCATATTACACCACGGCGTTCCTCGGCAACTGCTCACCGATCGGGGTCGCTACTTTTTATCACAAGTTATCCAAGACATATTGCACTCTTGGGCTACAAAGCACAAGTTCACAACGGCGTATCATCCTCAAACCAACGGGCTCATGGAGCGGCTAAATAGAACCATCACGGACATGCTCGCCATGTACGTTTCTTCCGACCATCGTGACTGGGACTCCGCCCTTCCATTTGTAACATTTGCCTATAATACGTCTCGGCATGACACTGCAGGTTTCTCGCCATTTTTCCTCCTGTACGGACGAGAACCTACGTTGCCTTTCGACACGCTCCTTCCTGCCGTTGGCCACACGTCAGAATATGCCCGCGATGTGATTTCTAGAGCTCTAGAGGCAAGTGAGATTGCTCGCCGGCGTCTGAGCGATTCGCAGGAACGACAACGACAGGTCTACAACGCGTGCCATCGTGATGTCCACTTCAGTCAAGGTGACACAGTCCTTCTCTGGACGCCGTCGCGGCGAGTTGGCCTGTGCGAAAAGCTGACTTCACCGTACTCGGGTCCGTACCGTGTGGTGCGCCAAGTCACCGACGTGACATATGAAATTGAACCTCTTAACGCCACCAGCGCGCGATCGTGTTCTGACGTTGTTCACGTCACTCAGCTGAAACGATTTTACTCAGACCAACCAAGCACCGAGATGGTGCCTTCGCCGCCGGGGGTGATGCTACGGGGCTCCACAAATGAGCATTTTAGAAAAGAGGATGATGCTTAGCGCAAGCTCGTGCAGACCGGGCTCCATATTGTATGCCTGCCTGTTTACCTAAAGTAAAGGTATTTTTCAGACGCCTTCTCCCCGTAACAATATTACTCACTCGGACTCACTCAAACTCAGACTCACGGCTGGCACTGAATCTGGGTGAGTCGGCTAATGAGTCCGTCAACATATGACTAGCTTTTGGACCACAGTTTCAACCTCTCTTCCCGCCCCCTGAAGGAGAACCTACGCACGTCTGGTGTGTATGAGTGCGTTTGTAAGGTCACTGAATCGATCAATGTACAGGTACGGAGCCACCCACTCGGCCCCGCCGCGGTGGTCTAGTGGCTAAGGTACTCGGCTGCTGACCCGCAGGTCGCGGGTTCGATTCCTGGCTGCGGCGGCTGCATTTCCGATGGAGGCGGAAATGTTGTAGGCCCGTGTGCTCAGATTTGGGTGCACGTTAAAGAACCCCAGGTGGTCAAAATTTCCGGAGCCCTCCACTACGGCGTCTCTCATAATCATACGGTGGTTTTGGGACGTTAAACCCCACATATCAATCACCCATTCGAGTTTTCGTCGTCTCCTTGCTGCCTTGACGTTAGAGAAAAGACCACGCACGTCCCAATTATGAGTTTAGTAGGACTACTTTGCTGTACGGACCACCTGCAGTGGCACAATTTGTGGCTAATTGATGCGTCCTCCTACAGGTGGCTGTGTTCCGCGACAAGATCAAGGTGGATAATTTCTGGTGCGGTGGAGCTCTGATCACTAAGCAGGTGGTTCTGTCGGCGGCGCATTGCTTCTATAACGCGTAAGTATGTGCTCTACTGGGTTCGTAGTTAATATAACATCTTATTGGGTCGTGCCTAGGTGCAAGAAGTGCTTGAACAAGTGGAAGGCGTGAAGAACCGCTACCTTGATTTAAAGCTTATTCCTTCAAATACCATTTTTGCGTAATAGACCCTATTTTATGTGATTAAGGCGTGACTTTCTCTCACGTTCAGGTCATATGCTATGAATGAGCAACCTCCTCGCTCGACAACAAACAGATGCAGTAGACGTGGTTAACTCTGATGATGAAGACCTAGAATTTTTTGAATTAATTAGAGGTATTATGCTTAAAAATTAGGTTGTTGCAGTGAGTGTACCTATATACCATTTTTCGTTTCATCAAGCACTTTCGAGGGAAGTAGAACAGGCCACTTGTTCATCTGCAGAGGCTGTACAGATGACGGCTCTATAAGCCTATTTCTCAGGGGGATTTTCTGTGTGCGGGCTATTCGACGAAAAAGTGGCAGCAACAAAATTCAGTTGCATCGACAACCAGTACAAAACCAGAGAGCTTTTGACGACAGAGAGATTTGCTTGAACAGTTAATCAACATTTCCTTTTCTGAAACTTTTTCAAGACATCAACACGTCCACTACGCAAAAGTGCTGTCTGGCAGAACCTATAGTCATCCCGCTGTTCAATCAACACGCTTCAGGAGAACGCTTCACTTCGGCCTGTACTCTAAATAGCAGTCGAAGCAATATGCAAGCTTGGGGGCTTTGGAATACAGTGTTTCAAAAAGATTATCGATAGCAAGCAAAGACTTCGTGACTTTTGTTTTGCCTAGCAAATGAATGACGTTTCTTCGGTCCACGCAGGAACGACACGGAGTTCTTCGTGCGCATGGGCAGCCTGGATATATCCAAAAGTCGCGTACGCGGCGCCATGACGATGACGGTGGAGCGCAAAGTCAAGAAGGTCCACATCCACCCGGCCTACAACGGCAAGCAGCAAAATAACGACGTGGCGCTGCTGCTTCTGCACAAGGACGCGGGTGTCAGCGAAGTCCCAGATGCCGGCCGCCTGCCTGCCCGACGAAGAGGGCGCGCCCGACGCACACCAAGGGCGTCATACTCGGCTGGGGACACAACGGATTCGGTGCGCACTAAAATGTTAAAGTTCAAAGGTCACTGAACGGTGCTCAGCAAGCAGTGACGTCATGACACGTCATCGCTGTGGAGAGGCGTCGCAGGAGCACAAGTTCAGAGCCTAACACTGCGGTACCACGTGATCTGTCGAACTTATAACGGCTGCTTCACCGGCACTTGGTCGCTAAGTCTCGGCATGCATAACGCGCCAGCCATGGAGAGCACTATCTATGTGTGCGTTTCAACGCAAGCCATAGTCTGAATACCATTATCTAGGGCATATAACGGCTACTTGCAAAATCTCGAGCAAGGGCAATGCAGCCTGCTGAAACTCCGCGCCAAAGGGAGGGTGGGTTATCACGTTGTGGAAAATCTTATAGACGCAAAAACATGAAGCTAGCCCCAACCGTAAATAATATTTTATTGCGATAGCAAGTATATGAAGTCTTGACTGGTTCAATACCGTCGCCACCGTCATTCAGCGTATATATATATATATATATATATATATATATATATATATATATATATATATATATATATATATATATATATATATATATATATATATATATATATATATATATATATATATATATATATATATATATACTATAGACAGGCATGCTGGTTGAGTAGCCGTAGCGTTGCAAGTAGTCAAGTAGATCCTCCGTGAGCGGTCACAACGTAGCTTATTTCGACGTTTCGACCTAGAGTCTGGCCTTCATCAGGATTGTTGTTCGTTAAGTCTCGGCATGCATAACGCGGCAGCCATGTGTGTGTTTGAAAACTCAAGAAAGAAAAAAGCAGCCCGCGCTCGGCGCCCAGCGTGTCACGATGAACCGATGCGCGCTTATCTCCCATGCGTACTTTGCCCCGCGAATGGGGGAGGGGGGTATACGCTTGTGCGCGCGCGTTTATCTTTGGGTGGAGAGAATTGTGCGCTTTCGGCTTTCACCGGAACGATTGCCTTAGCTGCCGGACCCACAAAGGTCACTTCGCTCGGATGCACAGGCCCCGTTTGCGAAAAGAGCTCGCTTTTCATGCAATGCGAAGTGTACCAACTGCGACACTTGTTGATTCCCGCTCATGTCTGCTTGTGATGACGATTCGTGCGTCGTTTTTGTTTAAACAGCGCGTTAAGTGTCGAGCGGTAAACGTTAGTTCGCTCTCGTCCTGTGTATTTTGCTTTCGTACATCATGTGTGCGTGAACAGCGCGCTGCACGTTTTGATCTGCTTGCCTTTCTCAGCGTTACATTCCAACTTGTTGCTATCGCATTCACTGCTTAGCGCTTGCGGCGAAACTGACTTTTTTTTCGCTGTCTTTAGTGTTTTTTTTTTCAAGGCACTCGTCCCGCTCGTTGCTACTCCTCGCAATGTGTGCACGCCTTGAGCACCTAACCTATATCATGTGTCCTCTGCCCTATAGGGGGTGGTCGCCTGTGCGCGTGCGCTTATCTCGTGATGAAGGCGGTTAGTACGTCTGGCGCTTTCACAGCAAAGTATGCGTTAAAGTCAGGGGCGGCGCCAGGATGTTTTTACTGGGGGGGCAACCACGAAAAGTGAGTTCCTCCGGGGGGGGGGGGGGGGGCAAGCTAGCTCTGCTCCTGCTAGGTTTTCAATATATGCTTCCGGGCACTTGGGTGGGCATAAGGGGGGCATACGAGAGTTTTGGGGGGGGGGAGGGCTCCAGCCCACCCTTACCCCCCCTGGCGCCGCCCCTGGTTTAAGTTAAAGAGCGCACGGAGATCACTGCACTCGCTGCAGCGGCCGCGTCAGCGAAAGATACGCACTGCTCAAACCTAAAGGAACAACTGTGACATTTGCGAGTTCTCGCTCATCCTGTGTGTACTTGCGCGTTCATTTCGTGCGTCCCTCTTCGTGTTTGAGCCGCGTGCCTCAAGTGATGAGTTGTGACGGCTGCTAGTTGGCGCTCGCCCTATAAGTGTGTTCTTTTGGTGCGTACCCTGCGCTTGACCAGCGCGTAGCAAGTGTTTAACTACTTGCCGTTGTTCACTCTGGCATACAAATCGGTTGCTATTGCATTCATTACATTGCCCTTGCGGCGAAACTGACATTTTTATGTGCTTGTTTATGCCATCTATGCGTGGGGTTCACGATATGCTATGTCTAGGAATACGTTAATAACTTCAGCTGCCAGAACGGTTAAATCGTGGTCATGGGCGTTAGTCGTCGGGAAGGTGTGCCATTAGAGGCGTCAACGTGGGTGCATCCACGTCAAAATGTGCAGTCAATGCTAAACACCAATAGACATTGTACACGCTCTCATATATCAATGCACAACTAGCTCAACTACCTCCATGATACGAGTTTGTCTTTCCTTTTTCAAATATTCGCATGATGGAGAGATCAGCCATGATTTTTTTTTGTCTCCTTCCACCCTTTCTTATGGATGACAGTTATAGGCCATACGTTCACCGTGATGCACGTTCTGGCAGGCCACGCTGAGCTACGGCCTTTATGATAAGACAGCTGAAGAAAAAAAAAGACATATCGGTGATATTTGCTGGTAAACGAGCAGGAACAAATTAAACGGTACCGCGGCAGCCGTTGGAATAAATTTGATAAATGCCAATGAGAAATATGAACCGCTAGGGAAGGGGCGCATGAATATTTACGAGTGTTGTTTGCTTGTTTTTTTTTCTTTGTTAACACGTAGGACAAGCCCACAAAGTTACAATGTTTACATGCAACTGTGGCTTTGTAACAGCACCACGCACACTTTCAAACCTATAATTTTGTTTGTGAAGTCCGTCGGATTAATGGCGTGCGTCCTTTGTAAGAGCTGCAAAGCTCCCTCACAAAACTTAACACGGTACCTAATTCACGCGATGTGTTCCTCACCCTTGGGAAGAAGCGTCCGCGTTTAGACTATATGTATTGGGCGAATTAATTAAGCTCAACATGTTTAAGCATATCAAGTTTGCAATGTAAGCGTCTCGCATCAATTTTGCAAGCGCAGGAGGGAAGCTACAAACGAACCTTCAGGAAGCCGATGTGCCCATTGTGAGCAACGAGGAATGCGACAAGCTTTACAAGACCCTGGGAACTTACAAGACTGTCTTCCATCACGGCGTCGACCAGGACTTCCTCTGCGCCGGAAACATCACCGAAGGCGGAGTAGATGCGTGCCAGGTACACGGTCCTGTTTTGACTGTCATCCACGTAGACTTCCACGTAGACTGTCATCCACGTAGACTGTCATCCGCGTAGATCGTAGACTTCTCGTGCGAAAATTGGCAACTAAGGCTAACGAAAAGCTGAGAGGAACACGGTATGCAAGCGCGTCCCTTTTAGTAGTACATAAATCTCCCAACGTAATTAAAAATCTCAGCTGCTGCTGTAGTACAATGCTCACGAATTGAAACGCGACAATTTAGGAGCATACGTAATGCACGTGTTGTAGTTCCCACCGTTCTTAGCGTAACTTCGACCCGAGTAGTCATATCGAGTATTTATACATTTAAGAGTCCAGATGCGCGTAGCGATTTGACGCGGTTATCTCGAGCAGTTGGGCGTACCGCTCTACACACTGAAAAATTTTAGTTCCGATCAGTGAGCACATTACTTAGACCAAACGCGTAGTGTTGTGCGTCTTTCTTTACTTCAAGTCGTAAGATCGTTCTCCCTCTCCCTCGTTTACTTAACGCTTCGTAACTCACACGTGTAAACGTGGCACAGGTCACGTGACTGCGCAACCGGTTGAGAGCTCACCTGTGTTCGTGGATTATACTTTTTCACTTACCAACGAACCTTAATGCACCAGGCGAGCGACACAGAAACTTGCAGTAGGCATTTTCAGACTAGCATTTTAATTTATTAGATATTTCTCCAAATTCGCACACCAGTCAGCAAGAGTCAACGAGTGTAGCCAGAAATTTATTTCGGGGTGTGGGGGGGATAACACTGCATGCATCTTTATGCGTGCGTTTGTACGTGTACGTTTGCACATGTGTAAGCAAAACTGAAAATTTTCGGGGAAGAAGGCTTCTACCCTAACCCTCCCCCCTCCCTCCCACGGCTACGCCACTTCAATGTAACGCTCCAATGTAACGTTGCCCTCCCTCTCTTGCCCGTGACGCACGGCATGCATACTCAACATAGTAACAACGCGAAAGAGACAGGGCCAGCACAAAAAACCGTCCATGTATAGTTCACTATGGATATGTAGTACCAACTGGTTCGCATTCACTCTCTTTAAAATACTCTGAAGATTCGCTAAATAATTCGTTCCAATGCATTTAGTATTGCATTCAGTAATTTTCGGGATAATGCATTCCTCATGGGTGCACATGTTAGTGTATGCGTGCCTGTGCAAAGTGTTTTTTTTTTGGGGGGGGGGGGGGGGGGGGGGTCCACGCACGCACGTACGCACGCACCCAAAGTTATAACTTTGCATTGATTTGCAGAAACCATGGCCGACTTTGAATGGATAGCTGAGTGTGTGCAGCGTGTACATATCCAAGTACGAACCAAGCTCATTTGTTTCACAAGTTCATTCTGCTAAAGTCGGCATGGTTCAAAACAGCGTCCGTCTTTGACTGCATTTATTAGGTCTTTTTTCTAACGCTTAATCCTCTCATCAGTTCCGACACTGCCGCCCTTCCAAGTCAGGACTGCGCTCTGTAAAAAAACACGTCAACGGTTTCTTAGTAATTGCTACTTCTTTAACTCTTCTACGAAACAGCACGACTCCGGCGGGCCACTGGCAGTGCGAGTGAAGAGAGACGGCAAGACTGTGTGGGAGGTGGTGGGCGTCGTGTCCTTCGGCGTCCAGTGCGGCCTGCCAGGATATCCTGGAGTGTACACTCGTGTGTCTACCTTCGTGCCCTGGATCCTCCAGTCTGCTGGGAAAATCGCAAAGATTAAAGGAAAGCCTGCCGAGGCCGTACGGCAGCGTCCCAAGCCTTAGCTGATGCGCGTGTACGCTCAGCTCATCCAGGTGTACGATCCGAGCGCAACTTGCCTGGTTCTGTTGGGTCTCGGTGAAGCAGACTTCAGGCACACGATACGCGGCCGCACATTCGAAAATGGAATAGCTGGTTGTGATCTCACTTGACTTCCAGCGAAGTGTTCACACATGCACTTTTTGTACAATTGTACGGTATATTTTAGCACGTTCTCCTGACTGGTTGAGTGAATTAGCTGTTGAAAGCGCAAGCATCTGCTACCTCACGGACGTTACGGAAGTTCCTGTAGGAGCTTAGCAACGCCACAAACACACAAGACTGTGCTACTCAGGCCTGTGCTTTTCTTGTTAATATTGCTATAAACGACTGCCACATCGACAAGCATATCAACCTGAAAAGTGCAATATAGACCTTAAAACCGTTACAGAAATGTTCACAACTAGATACACCTTTTCAAAGCGCGTCATGACGAGAACAGTTTTTATTTATGTCATTAAGGCGAAACATGCTTCATGAAACGTGAAATGTTACCATCATGAAGAAGAAAACAGAAAGGGAAAAGGCAGGGAAAGTAACCAGAAAGAATTCCGGTTGGAGATTAGAGAAGGGGAGTATAAAGATGAGGAAGAGAGAGAGGAAAGAAGAGAAATAAAGAAAGGAAGAGATAGTAAATTCACTGGAGTGTGTAGAACTCCACTGCAAGTCAGAGGTGTTCATACAAACCCATCGTCCTCAAAATGCGAAAGAGGGTTTTTACTGCCTTGTGGGCAGGCGACGTCACATATCACCAAAGAATAGTGATGTCATCATGACGTCACTGTATTAAGCCAACACGACATCGTTGGTTGGTCAGTGAAAAACTTTACGAGATGCAGAAGCTTAACAATGCCTCAGATTCTGGAGGCTGTGCAAAAGCACATTAGATACGTAAAATATTTGAGGTCTTGGGGGTTAGGATCGACTAAGCAAAGGATATGAAAAAGAACATGAAGTGGGGGATGGTGGCTTTTGCCTTCGAGTCATTTTAGGCAAATGCATGAGAGTTTCTATTTATCCACATTACAGTCTTTGATTTGATAGACGACTTCTTTTTGTATAGCGTAGAGGGTAACCGAATGCATAAATGAAAGTAGGAGAATGGAGGAAGGAAACCATTCACCCCATTGTCTTTTTATCGTCTTTTTCTTATGATAAAGTGCAAGGTGACCTGCTCATGAAAACACATTAGCTGTGGTGGCAAGGTACATAAATATAACTTCCCACTATGCCAGTGCAAATGCCTTACAGAAACTAGTCACATGTGCAGAAATGTTATTGTGCCAAATTAAAAGAACTGGGAGAAAACATTAGTTTTTTGTACCTTTTATTGTCAGTGTGTTTTGAAGCAGCTGCGTACATCAATGCAGAAAATTCAATTATGGTGCAGTAATGACCCATATTTTCAAAGCTGCATTTGGTGTGCCACATGTTTCAAGTATAACAAATGTGAAACAGTTATATTGAAGCACGCTTATAAAATAGGGGCATTATTGTTGTAGTTTGATGTAATATCAATAGTTGCCGATGAAATGTAAGGCTAGGCAGACTGACATTAAGCAAAAGAAAATGAAACCATAAGAAATGAAAATAGTAGCAAATGAATATTTTTCTCATCACTGCCTGATCACTATTACAACAGTAAGCCATTGTTATGAGAACAGAAAGCTTATGTCAGTAACTAAAAATCTCATGTCCAAATTTAAAATTACACTAGTGGAGCCAATATTGAGAAGTGTACCTACATATACGTGCCCAGTAAAACAGTTTTGTTTGCTTTCTGTAGGACTACTTGCAATGAATAAAAGGAAAATGAGCTTGAGAGAGTACAAAAATGAGACAAACTTGCGTATTTAGGCAAGCTCAGGGAATTACTGTTTTGAAACAATAAAACAAATTTATGCACAAACACTCGTCTTGTATATTTTATTTTTGTATACAACATACAAAATAATGCCTTTTATGCAATAATACAGTGGGACCATCGTATAATCAGAAACAAGTCAGTAGTAGTACAGAACAACACACACTGTGGATTCGCTCCCACTTATTTTGTAGGCATATTACTGCATCCCGAGCAAAAACGGGCTGCATGGTTGAGCAATTCGCTGCCTCATCCCGAGCATCACAGATCTGCCATGTGAGCTGCAAGTGTACTTATCTAGGACGAGTGAAATGCAGATGTGCGAAAAAATGGAATTATGTGAGCCAAAAATGGTTTCGATGAACAACAATAAAGTATGCAGTATACAAAGCACCACAAATCTGAAAAAGTTCCTTGCTTGTATAAGATGCGTGCGTAGCCCTGTCTACCACAATACTAGTTAGGAGTAAAGTTAATGTCACGCACAGACTAAAAATTGCATTTTGTCTTTATTAAGGCACTCGCATATTTCTCAAAAAGAAGGCGAAAAAATAGGATCTGAGAAACTTGCTTTAACAAAAAGGCAGGCTAGCCTCTCACCTCTTCATGCTTAATCATCCCTCTGCTTGACTGATTTCGTGAAAAAAGCTCCTCCTCTTGACCAAGGTGGTCACTAGTGAGTGTTTCGATCAGAAACTACACTTTGAAGTCCAGTCAATCTGAAACTGCACTTTGGAGTACAGACAACGACGAACACTTCTGTATTTGACTGTAGACTGGTGGGCGATGCAATCAGCTTCAGCGTCCTTTTGTGCCTGCTGGGAAGTGCTTGAAATGCCTTCTCCGATTTAATACACCCGAGTTCGAAAACAGTGCTTGAGTAGCTTTACTTGAAGTGTGTGCTTAAGAGTTTTGTTGTGCTCAAAAGTTTGCACACGTGATGCATAAGACCGCTTCGTCTAGCGAGAAAGTCAACATATAAAAGCAATTGGTATTCAATCACTGCTTCTCAGTTTTTAAAACGTCAGAAATATAACAAAATTCATAACTAGTGTGATACGAGTGCTAGGGTCACACTGCCTCAGTATTGCAGAGATTTCATAAGTAGTCTTGATTAATGGGGGCACCTGCATCTGCTGAAGGATGCCGAGGTTTCGAAGTGCTTCCCAAGCAGCTCCTTACCACAGAAATAACTAACGTGGATTTATAAAACATGGTACCCACTTTAATCAAGCTAGCTGCATTATAATCCACATGAGGGCAGTTAAAGCTCAGTTGAGGTTAATCTATGAATATGGCTGTTGCACTCACTGGTATGAGTAATTGTACAGCATAGGTACAGTGTATGGATGAAGAGACCAGGAGCGGCACAGCTTTGTCTGTGTTCTTTTCAGTCTATTTTTTATGCATTCATGCATTGTCTAACTCTGACACATCTGGACTGATGCTATAGTTGAATGCCTCTACATCAAAATGCCTCTACAACGAAGGATTCCTTACATCCCAGCCCTGTTGCAGTATAATGAAGCATTTTGAAGTTCTTCGACACTTCATTATACAGGTGTCGAACTCAACAAGTCGCACTGTCACAGAAATCACAAAACAAAGCATTTCATTTTAGGCAGATCAAAAAGACAAATTGTGGACAATGTGTAGTAAGAGATGCAATCATGAGCACAGAACAATGAAGTTTATATTAAGGGTAGGTCCGGAGTAGCCACTAAGGAGCACCCTCGTCAATGTATACAAAAAGTGGGTTTAGCTGACGAACCACACTTTAGGGGGACACTAAAGACACACAATGACTCGGTTTAGATTGACAAACAGAAATCTTAGAGCTCTAATGTCATATTTTGCACTATCATAGGTTCATTATTAGCGGAAGACTGAAAGTTGAGGTTTAATTTCAAAATTTTGTGCCAGAATTTTTGTGCTTGACGTAAAAAATTTCAAAAAGTATTTTTCGTATTTTCGTGACATTGGCTCGATGAAATTTACTGAAACTTTGTATGCTAGGTCTACGCCACCCACAGATAGCAATGCACGTCCTTTTTATCCACAAGAAGCTACATAGGAACCCGTAGGCATCTTCAAAATCTATGACTTCGGTGTTTGGTGCAGGAATCTCAAGGCGGCATTCACCCATATGTTCCTTTCGCATGTTTCTTTTTTTCGTTTACCAAGTGTCATGTTGTGGTAAGAGTCGTGTTTTCAGGATTGTGGAATTGTACTTTATTAACACACGGAAATTGTTTTGCTCTTTAGTGTCCCTTTAACCATGCCTTATGGGGGTGTCACCCCCCAGCACAGCCCCCCTCACCCCAATCTCTGGATCCACCACAGGTTTTCGTCATAATTTACCACAGCGACTGATTCACACTGATGCACTGTGGTCTGCAATTTGCATGTAAAAAATATCTGACAAAGTAGGGGTGTCAGCATCTCTGAAAATTCTATCCAGCTTCGCTTCAGTTGCCAAAAGCATACAGGTGAAGGAGTTGGTGTACCCAAACAACAAGAATAGTAAAAAGCTAAAAATAGTGAAGAGCTAAAGCTCTGGAATATATCACAAGCTCCACTTTCTAGGCTTGCAGGAGCATCCATTCAAATTGTGATCAAAATCGCACCATTCTTCTTGACGCAGAGTTGAGGCACTGTTTGCCTGAAAGTTGCCTAAGTAGGACGCATACGATTCCAGCAAACAGCCACTTCCAGGATGGTTCATGGACACTGGTATCCTTCCTTTTGGAGCCTTCAAGAGAGTTAAAATGGGCCAGAAATTTCGGAATAGCTCTAATGCATACCATGTTCAATAAGAAGTATTAACCAGCTGATAACAAGGCATTTTGCCACGTATGACTACAATAATAATAAATTTTTCGCACCACACACGCCTCACTGAAACACGTTATTCACTTGCTATGATTACGACAATTAAATCTTCATAGAGACATACATAACCACTGCATACGCATTACAGAAGCAACGTTTTCAAACTAGAATAACTTCGAGAACACTAGATGAAATTATGAAAAAGAGGTCACACACCTCACCCATTTTTTGACTCATCAAATAGTGCAGACTACTGATAAAGACTTTTAAAAGCTGAATTAGTAAAGGTTGGCAGCATTAATATAAAAACAAATAACACAAAGAAAGAGATTATTCGTTACTTTGTTTTCCAAAGCGGTGTTCAGAAACTGGCACATAACAGGGACATAATGTATATTAGGTACGTCAGTAAATTTTCTAAATATGACGTACTTCGTCTCCTAAGTCATGCCAATCATGCCGTCAAAGCTGGTTCACCTTTACCATCAAAAGCACTACGGAATCTTTCAAATGCACACACATCATCAAGTTAACTCAAGTAATGCCTCAGAAATGTTCACTTACTGCTTTCTGTCCACGATCTCTCATGAGTAGTTCACAGCCAGAAGAAAATCAGCCAGTATTTGCCTGAATTTCAACAATTATGAGCTTTGAAGCGAATGCCATAAGAACGCCAAGGACGACGGTCATTATAGTTCCGTAGCTTAGGGAAAAGCCGAACGTCTGGAAATGAGAAAAGTGATACACATTAACCAACTAATTAAAAGTAACAGCTGAAGACAGGCAATCCATACTATTGCCCAACAATATTCCGTAGCATGGCAACACAATAGATCACAAAACAAAAATTGTAAGAACTCACAGTAAGTTGAATGGGCGATTTCAAAAGGAAATTCATCATTGGGATTCCTTTCTTCAGTGGGACGTATACACTGCAAGAGGAGAACGCAAATAAGATGCAAAAATGAATAAAATGACAACCAAAACGAATTTACCAAGAGCTGAATATTGTCCCACTATCTACTCCTTCTCTCTTTTCTTGCTTTGAAATTGCACTTCACATCCAAACAAAGTGAAACCGTGCAGCTGCTGAGAGAGCTGTGCCTCGCTGTGCTATATAAACCATAAACCACCATTAGATCTGCGTATTGTACTTCAGAATATGTAGCCCTTCTTTGAATGCACAGGCCATCCTCATTGAAGAGACGTCTAAGATACATTGTGTCAAGCCAATTAACACATTACTAGTCCTCAAAAATGCATGAAGTGCCAGTTTTACTAGGGATCAAACTTTTGCATGAACATAGATATTTAACAGTCTTGGTAGCATAACAGCACGGACATATGAAGACAAATAAGACAGCATCTAAAGTATCATTTATAATGAGCAAATAATAATTATATAGAAGTGAAAATAGGTATGCCGTGATAAACTTGAGATCAAAGAAATATGATGATTGGCTAATTTTTATATCTTTCTCAGGAGCACAGTGATGGTTTTCAATTACTGCTTGGTAACTACTATACTATGTAGAACCCACCTCTGTTCTGACTTCTCTCATTTAAACACATAATTACTATAAACTGAATTAACATGCAATTATGTGTGATTACATGTGTTCCACCAGTCTCCTCAGCAAATATTCCATTTTCAATAACAAATTTCTCAACGATTAAATCATCACTTGCAAACAGAACACTAAAAAATCTCAATCATAATCTAACATTCTCTTAGACCTAACATTTGCCTTTAGTGTCTATTAACAAACGAAAAATTTTGATAAGGCCGCAATTTCATTGTGATGCCCCTTTTTTTTCTAAATATAGCTGGTTCAAATAATTTTATTATACCTAAATTCAAGGCTGTACGAGATATTTGCCTAAAGGGTATCCTTATTCTGCATATCACATACAGTAGACTCTCGTTAGAAGCACTGACAAAAAGTTTCAAAGGCAAGGTAATGAGGGGGATAGATACATGTGCAGTGGTGATCCAGCCACTTCAACTTTTGGAGCAATTTTTGGAGCAGAGAAAATGCTCTTTTGGAGCACCTTTGTATCGGCACTCGATTTTGGAGCAGCAATTGTAGCAGCAACTTATTTTACAAAAATACATCTCTCATTATTGCTGAAACTAAAGCTGTGATAGCAACCACAGTTCTATAAAACCGTATTTGTCTCAATTCTCAATTATTAATTAGAGTGTCACGTGCATGCCGATTTTAAAAGCCACCAAGAAATGGACCAGTCCATCAGATTTAATGCACTACTGAAAATGAAGGTAGTGCAGGTGTAGCATTAGTTTATTAAAGTACACTAAAAGCTACGACGAAAATTCCCAGAAACCGAACTGTAAGGAGAGTTTTGAACTTTCATTTATTTACAGAAGAAAGATGTGCATGTTGCAGCATTTACGTCCTCTTGCTCACCTTCTTGCTTAGTTCTTCCAGCTGTGAGAGGGTTTGGCTCAAGCGGAGTTGCCTTCAGCTAATAAAGTTTGCCCAGCTTCAACTTGTTCCAGGCTCTTAGAACGCAGACCAGAAGAAATTATGTCTTCTGCTCGTTTCAGCAATGCCCTACTTGAGGTGACCTTTTCTTCCAAGTTCTTACGAAGTCGCTTTTCGTCGACATCAGCACCAGTGTCTTGGTATCCAAGCCTTTTCCTGCTTTCTGACTGCTGTGCACTTGCAGTTCTCTCTGTGTATCGGGCTCTAGATCTCCTTACACTTTGCAGAAGCTCTGTAGACAAGGGAACTTTAGTGGCATCTCCATCATACCTGCGGAGGTATGTCTTTGTCTGGCGCAACCCGTTAATGCTTGCAATGCATAATGAGTAGCGGTTCTCATAAAAGTGCTTATTTTCGCTAAATCCTCGTTCGCAGTCTGCGTTGCCATGTGGCAGGCACAGCAGACACTTGACAAGCCTCGACAATAATGGATACTTTGGTTGACCTCCAGGAGACTTCAGTTCAAATATTTTGCCCCAACGAACCTCAATTCTTTCACCTCCAAGTGCCAGGAGGTCACTGTTTGAGTCACACTTTAACATATGCCACTCATCGATGGCTGAGGAAACTTCTTCATGTTTGATTACCTGTGGAAGCTGAGACACAAGGCACTTCAGTGCTCACACTTCCGATTCAACATTTGTTGACTGCCAATTGAGGAGGCTAGCAGATTGAAGAACTCTATTGTCGAGTGGAAGCTTCTGAAGAAGATCCTTGGCACAGGCCAAGTAAAAAGCACGTGCTCCAAGATAAAACCGCTTCTTCTCACTAGTGTCCCACTCAAGCATTGATTTTTCAGTATCTGTACCAACTTCCGGCCTTGATTTCCAAAGGGATGCATCCATCACATCTAGCCTTTTCAGTTGTTCAGCGCTCTTGTCTGCAAAGGCTTCATGACGAAGAAACCGACTGAGGACTCGTTGGACTAGAACAATAAGTTCAACGTGAAGTATGTGCAAGAGCGGCTCTTGCTTTTGGAAGAGCAGCTGAAATCCACTGAAAAGCTGCGCACAGTTCTTAAGGAACAACACTTTGGCCAAAAGTTGTTTCTCAGAAAATGCCGACACAAGCTTGTTGTGTAGGCTTTGGGTGTCAGGTCGTTGACGAGATGAATTGCCCTTAAAAAAAATAGGTGCGAAGCGCTTCAAACTGTTCCTCAACTCGGCAAAGTGAGTCTTGTAGCGTCAGCCAGCGATTAGAAACGTGGCGCAGAAATACATGACAAGAAATTCCCAAAGTATCCTGGCATTCTCTGATTGCTTCAGCGCGGAGAGCACCTTTGAAGTAGTAGTAAATATTTCTCACTACTTCTTCTACATCTAAGCCAAATGCATCCAGGCCTCTGCCAAATGCATTGTGAACCTTATGAAGATTTCAGTTGCCAATATCAATCAAACTTGGTGCCACATGCTTCTGAAGCTTGTTTCTTACGCTCTTCATAACATTAGGGCCATCACTGAAAAAGCAAACAAGTCCTTGCTTTGGAAGATCTGCTATTGCTTCTTCTATGCAGCCAACAATTATTTCAGCGGTTGCACGCCCAAGATCAAATGACTGGACATGTTCAACAACAACTTCCTGTTGGCTGCTGGAAAAATAGCGTACCAGCACGTCTAGTTGCTGCACCCTTAGCTCTGGCTTTGGCATCTCATCAATCATAATGGAAAAATAGACATTTGGCTGGCACAGCTCAGTCACCACTTGTCCTTTAAAGTAGGGACCCAGTCCATGTGATACAATGCGGGCCAACTTTATTCTGCCGCAACTAAACTTTTTGGCGATGTCACTGTCGGGAAACATGCAGTGATAAATCGAAGTTGCCTTGTCTCCCCATGAAAAAGGAATTCCCTTGGCCACAACAGACAAAGCAAAAGTAGTTTCTGCCTTGCTGACTTGGTGCTCAAGTGATGTATTAGCAGACCCGTTGGAGAAGTCCAGTGTGCCTTGCACCAATTTGGGTGGAAGAAGATTCCCGTCCTTGTCTCTGTGTCTAGCAGCTGCATCAATATGTTTCTTCATCCCAGCATGACGCTTCACTGCTGCCGCTCCATGCTGTGCGCAAGAAATGGTGCAGTTGCAAAGAATACAAAATGCATCTGTATTTCGGGTTCCACTCTTGCACCACCGACTGATCGGATCATTATTGGAGTCCACCTCGTTGAGTACAGAGGCGTTGAACTTGGTGTTGCGATCTAAAAACATGAACGAAACGAACTTTATGACAGTAAACTTTCCCAAGTTTTTTTTCAGAGCGTGAATATAGGTAAAAGCAACAGGGTAGACAGAAAGAGCACTGACTTCTAACTTTATATCACAGAGTGGCAAGAATATATATGCCCAAAAAAAGGATGATTAAAAACATGACAAAATACAAGCCTAGCCAATGCGTCAGTATAAAAAAACTTGCAAATGTGACTACGCACCAACTAGCCCAAGGTTCCACTCTTGTAAATTTTCCCACGACAAAGGCACGCTAGTAAAAAGAGCACGTAACTACTAGATTTATTTTTAGGGTAGCCCGTAACATAATGCCAACCTTACTTCATTGGAAGATCTAAATACCAACTCTAAGGCGCCAACACCAAATATTTGCGCAAGCATTTTGGGTACAGCCTCGACAAATGGCGCGAATCGGGATGCCAGTTGTCTGTCGACCATTCACACCTAAAACTCGCGACCAACTTACAGGAAGTTGCCATGCGGATGACGCGTGAGTCTGACGGCCGCAGACAAACGCATTGCCCCAGCTGGCAAGGCGGCATAAGGCGCTAATGTATGTTGGAGGTTTGCTTCCTTCCGGCGCGGCGCGCGATGACCAGAGCAGAAATTGACAGCAATGTTTTCCTTAAATTAAACATTTAAAAAAGCTGATTGGGAACGGCACGTCACGAATAGCGGATTCCCAACGATCGGCGGCCGCTAATGCGGTAACATTACGGTGCTTATTGACTTGCTTGTGTTGACATGGTCGACGCTCAATCACTCTTTTCCGACTATTCTACAAGCAGCTCGCACGGTGGGGCGCCCGATCCGTGACGCGCCGGCAGCACATACGGCCCATCTAGCGATCTGCTAACGTCAACAAAAGCGACCCGCCTGCAGAAATTCGTAGTGTATTCCGCGTCACTCGCTCGTTCGTTTCGCACTATTATATGTTCCGAACGGTAGCATGTAGGAGGTGTAACTGCTGCATGCCGTACGAGCGATTGCGCGTTTCAAATGCGGATATTCCGCACCACGAAACAAGGCACGGCGCACCTTCCTAAACCTACGTACAGCGCTCGGACACTCCGAACACAAAAACCATCAGTAGCGAGAAATCGGAAGAACTATAGGCAAGTTGCAACTTCTGTACTGATTCAATAGCAAAGTGCGGCCAGTAATAAATGCCAGCAGCGCTACGCCATCGCCTAAGCATTCACTAAAGTATTTCACGGGCGCTATTAAGAAATGCCACAAAATTTAAAAAGAAAGCGACTTACTTTTGTCCATTTCAACAGTGGGGGGATGACAAACATTCGCTGACTGGTTGTTCACAAGCACATGGCGCACATGCAACGACACGACGTGCTGTGCATGAGCGCGAAAACCTACAGAAAACACCCGAACGACACCGACGAATACCAAAGCTGCAAAGCACATAGTAAACAATTGCCAACCTAGAAAAAAATTCACTTGTTGCCAACTGCAAAATGAACATCCGCTAAAGTCGGGTTCTTTCGTGCAATTTGGCGCATTTGGTGCAAACAAAACAACACTTGCGCAGTAAGGCGCAGGAAGGTATAATTGTAGCAAATTGGCGCAAATGGCGCAGCTGGATCACTACTGCATGTGGAGACACACACAAAATCTAAGAGATATCAAGGGCAAATATAGATTAGAACACATTTCAAATCAATTTTGAAGTGCAAGCTGTGTGACTAAGCAAGTTGGGAAGTCCCTCGCGATGCTGATGTCAGTGTAGGGCCAATGTAAACAAGCCGACGACACAAGTTTGTGCTGGCTTGTTGCTGGCACACACCTTGCACTGGCGTTACCAGCGATTTCCTCCTCCATGCCTGCGGCTTCGTGTGTGCCAGCTGTGCTGGCTCACGTCGCAGTTTTGCATGGTCATGTGGCCAGCTGTGTTTACCTTGTCCATGAAGCTGCTCCTGCCTAGTTTGAACACATCTGCTATTGCACTTGGAGAAATTTGTTATTCTATTTCATATACTATTCATAGTAGGCAACCTGACAATCTGTTCCACAGCTTATTTCTGGTTAGTTCACATCAGTATCACAACCAGCAATGACCAAGCAATCTCTCCCACATTAAATCATCTCTCATCACCTTGAGCATGCGTGACCCCTCCAAGTTGACCTCAGCGATGCAGGAAGTGACAACGAGCAGCAGGGTCAAAGGGCAGACAAACTGCACCACCTCCCAGACAGTGGGCGAGTGGTTAAGCCAGGTGACCAGCTGGGACGAGCACCAGAACACCACCAGGGCAATGAGGCTGCCCACCCAACGCTGCAGGGCACGCCCCGTGAGGCGTAGCCGGCACTGCGAAACAGGTCGCAGAGGCATAATAAAGCAACACAGCGTAACTCACATGCTATGTGTCTGTGCTGCGACATGAGGCACTTCCCCAAAGAACAAAGACCAATGCGAAAAATTCCCAAAGGTTATGTGCTCCAAGATCAACTAGGGTCGTCTACAAAGCCCACAAGGCAGCGAAGAGCATAGGGCTCCCTGTCCCCAAAATGGGAGGTGCCCTCTACAGCTATCTTTTACTATGAAAGCTGTTATAAGATCACTTTTTGGGTCACGTGCAGTTGTTGTATGTCGCCCTGCCGCCACCGGTTTCCGTAACCACATCACGCGAGATTAGAAAAAAAAACCTTGCACCACTGACACAGTGGGGCTTGACCCCAAGTCCGCTGGGTGTCAGCCCTATATTCTACCATTGTGTTACGCCGATGCTTGTAACTTGTTGTAAAGCTTGTCTCAGGCAGGCATGACTTAGCACCAATGGCACAGTGGGGCTTGAACCCTGGTCCGCTGGGTGCCAGCCCAATATTCTACCACTGAGCTACACCGGTGCTTGTGACTTGTTGTCAAACTTGCCTTAGGCAAGCTTGATGTCGGGAAAGCAATCGTGCTAATACGACTTACAAAACGTTTTACAACAGCCGTCGCACAATGCAAATAGCATAATAAGAGGGCCATCCAATGCACCAAACTAGCACAAAAGCTTGTTCTTGTTCCCCTATTAACTGTACCGCATACCCACTTCAGCCACATCGTTGTAAGCCACTGCATGGACAATTGGCACAAAATTTCTTGCAAGTGTTCAGCGGATACCACGCTTCTCAGAAGAATGACGAAAAATAGCATAGCGAATTCCGGCCTACTACCCAAAAGTTCATTATTAATGCCCTAGTGGGTACCAAGCAAGTGCGCTTGCAGTAGTTACCCATTGAGTGTTTTGAAAAGGCTCTGAAAGGCCGCTCTTCCAGCTTTCTCTGCGACTGTGGTGCGCCTACTGCGCAAGCCTGGCGTTTTTTTTTTTCTTTTTTTTATCCAGGTGTCCTACGGGACCCCCTTTTTGGAAATTGCACCACCAACACCCTACCACGGCAAGACTAATCTTCTGCAACCAGCTACATAATCTCATGAGATTACGACATTCTATTATCTTGAGCACCCTAATTTGGGCACAGTCGCAAAAATCAATAGTAAAGGTTGAAGTCGGTAAGCAAAGTGAGTGCTAAGTGAGTGCTAAGTGGCTATGCATTCTTGCGACTGCAATGATTCCCATGATCGTAAAGATCTTGCTAGCTGCGCAGTAAGAAAACTCAAAATGTACCGAAACAGTCAACTCACATAAGTTTAAAAAATAACATGGCAATCTAGAACTAAGGAGAGGCTGGGAAGGTAATGGTACAACTAGGGCTAAACTAGTACGTTATGTACTAACTCCCTTTTCTTCTTTTTTTTTCTGTTGCGAGAAACTTCAGACTTACCGAGACTTTCCAGTATACGTGAAGTATTTCAGCTATTGACAAGCTTCGTGGCGCCTGCTGATGGGGCCACACTAAGGTCAGCTGATCTTGTGACATCCTGGATTGAAAAAAAAAAAACAAACAAAACCAACTGTTGTATTGCTACACTTTCCCAATGAATTTCTCACTTTAAGCATCAAGCAAAATGTCAGAAGAGAGTAACTTGAATGACATGTGGGTTTGGCAACGTGTAAAGTGAACATGGCAGCAATAATATTCTGAATCCGTACAATATGAGACAGAAATAAAGAGGGAGAAGAGCAGCAATGCATATCTATGCATTCCTTTTACCGTGCAGGCCAACAGACAAACTGACCCACTTTGCAGGTACCATCTGGCACAAACAGTAGTAGAACATTTACTTAATAAGAGTTACCATAAAATCCCGAGTAAGCTCTCCCTACAGGTAAGAGATAATCCAATAAGATTCGAAGAAGGGCCCTTGATCGATCATGGAGCAAAATCCAATATGGCGGAGGAAGAGCGACTGAGCATAAAAAATGCACACTCGTGGTTCTAATGAAATGCTTTGAGTACACGTGCATTCACTGTTTCCAAAATATTGAATGAAACAGTGAAAATCCAAATAGGGGATAGCGGGGAGCGCTTACTCATGCCATTGGTGCATATTGCGAATCTTTCGGGAAAAGGAGAGGAGCGCTTGCTCACGTGGAGGTGCTTGCTCGGAACTTAAGGATAGAGTTAACTTCAGATTCAAGGTCAATGACAATGGTGACTCTGCTAATGTTGTATATGCATTAGGTCCTGCCATCTATGTAAGAACAGATACAAATATATTTCTACAATGCTAGCCCATTAAATGATAGGTAATGTTTATAAAAATTACAAGTATAACGATGAGAGTTATCTCCTGCGATGCACACTGGAGCTTTGCAAAAAACTTCTACACAACTAAAGTATAGTAACTGCATATCGTTTGTACAACTCGAATTTTAAGATTACAATAATTACTGTAAGCAAAACAACTTTCAGATTGTTGTACATGTGTACCCTTATCAAGCTGTTTGAAATGTCATGAAATCTTGACTCATAGCCTTTGAATGTGACTGAAGTTACATAGCTTAATGGTCTCAAATCAACAATTAACAACTGTTTTAGTAGCTGCATCAAAGGCTCTAAGCACCTTTATTGGCCTCATCCTTTTCAGTTAGACAATAAGAAAAGGTTTTTTTAGCTTTGTTATGCCTTTTTTATTCAATGAATTATAAGAAACTACACCGCTTTGATAATCTTTGTTATGTGGATTACCACACTTTACCCTAGCTACCTTTATCACAACAATGACGCAGACATTTCCCTTCACTGCCATATGCCAAGACACCCACAACCTTATAAACTAACTACGAAGTGAAAGAAATGCTACTGCCAACTGTTTATCAACTAAGATGTACAGCATGTTGAAAATTGTGCAGATCTCAATTTCATTGTTTTCATTTCATCGATTTCATTGATTTTATTGTCTCTTTTCGAAGCAGGCCAGCTTCTTGTCATACTCACAGCATCGTAGGTTCCACTGAGAACGGAAATGTGTGGGCCGTCCTCGTAGCTCCTCAGCTGCACATGCCTAAGCGATGAACCCTGACCGTAACAGTCATCAGCAATGTAGGAGCCGCTTTCAGACATCTTGTTCTCAATCCAAACACTTTCTGGTGAGTAAAGAGAAAGTTGAAACAAATATGATTGCCATTTCTTGGATTGTTGCACAAAAGTAACAAGGCGCACTAAAGGGCTCAATAAACAACTTAGAAAAATAATGCAACTTTCCTTAATCATGTATTTGTTCTTAATTTAATTTGTCCGTATGTAAAGAATTTGTGCGGGCTAGTAAGCTATTGTCGATATAATTATGCTGCAAAGAATACAAGAGGTACCAAAAACTGTATTCGATGAAAATATGCTCAACACACTGCCGCTTGCTTATGCAGCAAATGAATATCTGCAGTATGTCCTACACCTGAGCTAGGCAAATTGCTAGGGTTGAAGAATAGGTGTTTTGGTAAAGCACAATGAATGGAGGGCTACATAATATTTATGTTGTGCAATACAGAAAGCTAGTAAGTGTCAGCCCCTAATCTTCAATCCAACAATTACCTGATAAAGTAAACAAATTTTTTCTAAGTAGCTTATTCATCATAATGTCTGTGACCTTGAAGAATTAAGTGCCAACATTAAGATGCTGATAACAAATTTATGGCAATTCTGAGCATCAAGACAAAAAAATAGTCACTGGCCTTCACAAATGTCTTCGGCTGTCAGTGGAGAGCCATAATACTGCTTGGCATTGCATGCCTCATAACTAACTGCAGTCAGCCTCAAGCTCCTTGACGAACCTTCGTATACCTGAAAGCGAATGCCGATGCTTAAAGCACTGTATACATACACAAAACAAAGCAGTTTATGCATTACAACTTTCAGGACTAATTAACCACAAACACACACTACATAATGAGGCACACTCAAATGTGCAAAGCCTTTGAGGAGTTTTGTCTTTTTGTACACTATCATACACCAACAGCATGGCAGTACTATTACGTGATCTATTTCATCTACGGCAAGTATTTTCATGCTCACAAAGCAAAACTAATCAGAAAGCTCTTTCTTAGACTGCCTTTTACCGATTACACCAGGTAACAAATCCTCCATTTTAAAAAATGTTGGATGCAATCAAAATATTTTGATGTTGGATGCTACATGTTTTGTGTTCAACTGTCCACCTACATGAACACCACCTGAGTTAACTTTGCCTTCTCAGAAACAAAAAGCTGTCTGCAAGTATATATCAACAATACAACATATAACACTGAACATTTATTAGAATCTACGACTTGGACATTAGCAGCCATCAACTCCATTTGTTAAGAAGGAAATAGCAAAGACAGAACAGGTCGGGCTTCCCACTCACCTATGGTATGCGTTCGTGCAACTGACACCAGAACCATGCACACCAGGCCATGCCACATCAGTGAGAAGATAGAGTAGATAACATGTAAGAGGAAATGCATGGTACAAATAGCACGTGGAAAGCCAATCGGCACACACGTTTCACCCTGTATCATGACGCGTGAGCTGTATGCATTCACGGCCAAAAACACCGCTCCCAATATAATGGCAAGGGCAGCCGCGTTGATCTTCAGCAGGTCTTGGAGTGCATTCTGATGTCCTGAAAATTAAGGCAGTGAACAAAGAGTCAGTTCACAATGCACACGATGGCTGGCATATCTTTAAAGCGGTCATGAACCATACCTCGAGCTTGGTGAGAAAACACATTCCACAGAAAGCAGACACTGCTATGAACAGCTTCGCCAGATCATGTAGCTATTTGCAAGACCTTAAAGGCGACACTAAAGAGGAACAATGACTTGGTTTAGATTTACAAACTTCACTCTGAAAACTAATGCCATATGTTTTGCTATTGTAAGTTCGTTATTAGCAGAGAAATCAAGGCTGAAATTTCATTTTTAATATTGCGCCGAAATCTCTGCGCATGACATAAAAAGTTTCAAGATGCATTCTTGGTATTTTCGTGCCATAGGCTCTATGGAACTTTCTAAAACCTCGTATGCTAAGTCTATGACATCCAAAAATCTCAATGAACTTCATTTTTATCAATTGGATGCTACGTTGGACCCAGTAGACACCTTGTGCTACCATGTGCAGGTGCTGCACTCCATAGTCTGCTAACATTACACAGTAGCCAAGCTCATACACAGGAATCACAACGGGAGCGAACGATCACATTTAGTCATGTGCAATCAAGGTTATGACATAGCCTGATGTAACTTTTTCTACTATTCCATCACTTCTTGCATGATTCCAGAGTCTTCATAGGAATGAGAAAAGAGCGAAAGCGTCTATTGCGCATAACCAATCCTTGTAATTTCGCTCGTTCTTGCCAGACTCAGAAAAATCTTGAGGTGATCAATTCACGAGATATTAAACTCTGGTAATGAAGTTGTTTGGTGATTACTTAAAAAAGTGATTCAAGACCCCTTTAAGGAATAATTTTTCCTACAGTTCTCCATTAGCTCTGCTTCATAAGCATTCAAACCTCGAAATATTGGCTGCAATATGAAACCTCAATTAACTATAATGAATTAGATTTGTACGATGCTAGTTCAAGTATTTCAGTCTTTTTAAGAGTAGTGCAAATGCTCAAGCTAAAGTGAGACAGCTGGTCAGAACAAAAAAAAGAAAGCTGTGCCTTCATCGTCTCAACCAGGTGCATTACCTTGATAAAGGCGGGGTGGCTGAAAAGCCTGCGAGCGAGCCGTCGCCCATACAGTCCAAAGATGCCCCAGCTGACCACTAGAAAAATGCTGATGCATCGATACAGGGTCTTGGCTTCACCACGGGACACCATGATGAGTCTTACTTCATAGGCAATGTGTACAAGGCACAGGCCAATGCATGACAGCACTGTCAAGGCTGCAAAACAATGTTTATGAGAACCATCAAATTAAACTACACAAACTTGCCACGTAGACATTTCAGAAATCATAATAAGGCAGGAAAAATTCAGGAAGCATAAGTGAGGACATGAGTAGACTTCACAGGATAAAAGCAATAGCATACAGGTTCCATGCACCAGCAGTGACAACCCATTGCATAGTGGGCAACATGTCATGTTGACACACTCCTTCATGTTGCTACAGCTTCACATTGAGTTAATGGTGTGTTCGCACTATTGTAAGTAGCAGGAACAGTTCTGAAAAGACAAAAGGTAAACTTTACCTAAAGTGAATGTGGGTTCTTTTAGAATGTGCCTTTTGCGACACATTGTGACGCCATCACGCGGTAGCCACGAGAAACAATGTACGTGGCGCCGCCATGCAGCAGCGCGCCCTGAATGTGTTGCCGCATACGCGATACTCGTGAGCCAACAAGCAGTGTGTGAAAAAAATTTTTCGATAAAATATTATTGGCTTTTGCTTTGGACTAAATTTTATTTTTGCTTCCACCTTTGAAACTACCGTAGTTCTTGCTTTGATGAACTGCTGCAGGCAGGAACAAGCGGGAAATAGGCTCAAAATCCGAATTGCAGAAACGGTCAAAAATAAGACAGTAAGGTGGCTGTCGCGTGCAACACGAAAAGCAAAAGCCCTGTACTGCAAAAGCCTATTATCTCCCGGCATAGGACTCTCTAAACCATTCACATGTTTTCCAAGCACACAACACGGACCTGAACGGCTGTTCGCAGTGCGTATTTCTTTCAGCTTTGGGCATTTTCATTATGCTGCTTTGAAATAGGGGGGCTTTCGCTTGACGCCCAGATGGTGAAAAAAAAAATGCTTTTTCTGCTAAAACATCAACAGAATACTAATACATGAAGCAAAAGCAAGAGAAATACTTCAGAGAAAAAAGCAAGAAAAAATCATACACACTGCTTTGCAGTACATTATTTTCTAAGCTTCGTGTGGGCCAGTGTGTTGTTCGATAAATGATTACAGATGGCACAGTGTCATCAAGGAATGAGACATGCATGCTTATCACAACAACCAGCACTTGTGCATGAAAGCATGAAAGCTCAGGGTAGACAAAATTCCTAATACTCTCAATATAGCATGCCATACATTCACACAGCAGTTTGGCACAATACCATGGCATAGTTTCCTAGCATTTATAAGGTACGTTATCAGGCTGTAATTTAAGTATGCACGTTTATCACATGTGAATGTGTGTAATTGCTGTCATGCCCATCTTTCAGAGGAGTTTTATGGCTGTAGTAGTGAATGCAGGTTAATTTAGCACCTTGCAAACAAAATGTCAACTCGCCATTTTTTGCAACTACTAGTACCACATCTGGCTAGCATGTGTTTAATGCCCAGCCCATTGGGCTCCTACTGCCCAATGCACACACTGTGAAGTGCTGTTAAACTGTTGAATTAAAAAGCCATTCATTCACATATGAGATAATGATCACTATAGTGGCACACCCCTACTATCACTTATAGTGCCCCAAATTCGCCGTGGTGCACTCAGCGCACTCCAACTTACAGCTCCCGCATCACACAAGGCACAGTCAATGCACAATAAAGATCATGTTCTCTCATCACCACTCATTTTTTGTGGCCTGGCATCAACAAGAACATCCGGCGTTGGACTCGCGAATGCTTGCATTGCCAGCGGGCAAAGGTTATGTGACACGCCAAATCACCGATTCAGCAATTCTGCTTACCAGATTGCCGCTTTGGCCATATTCACATTGACATCGTCGGTCTGCTTCCTTCATCACAAGCAAAGCGCTATCTCCTCACTTGTGTCGACTGCTACGCACACTGGCCAGAGGCCTTCCAGCTACACGAAATCACGGCATCAGCTTTTCTTGCCAGAGTTTCTCTCACTTTGGCTGCCCCACTGTCGTAACTATGGACCCTGGCCATCAGTATGAGTCGGAGTTGTTCAGAGCACTGACAAGTATCCTCGGTGTAAGTCATATCTGTACAACTTCATACCACACTTCCGCGAATGGACTGGTCGAACGACTACACCGACAGTTAAAGGCTGCACTCATTGCTCACAATGCTCGAACTTCATGGGTTGATCTTCTCCTCGTGCTGCTCGAAATCAGCTCAGCGATCAAAAAGTCACAGTTTCGCCAAAAGGGCAAAGCGATGAATGCGATAGCAACATATTCGAAAGACTTAGGAGCAATACTAATTTTAGTAAACATGCACTTGCTAAGTAAACGAGTTTCCTGTGGCGTGGTTCTGCTTTGTGGCAGCTACGGGAATTGGTAAAACTGAAGTTCTTTACATCCGTGGCAATGCACAAAACAACAGTAGCGCCACTAGGGTCTTTCTTTGTAAAGCGCGGCAATGCTCTTGCTCTTGTTCGCGTGTCCCCTCTTGTTTTGGCCGTCATTCTGGAGAGTGAACAAGCAAGCACTTCATGGCGGTTCGACGATGCGTCCAGCTAGAGGAGAGAATTCCTATTTCATTTTCTGAGTGTTCAATGCCCAAACACCTCACATTTAGCTAAGTAAACTTCATTCCCTCAATCGTTGTCTCCCACACCCTAGTTGCACTTGGTTACGCAGCAAATTGTGCAAGAGAGTCAGGCCTTGCACTACCCAAAACTGGGTCGACAGGTGGCACTACGTGTCTGCAAAACTCCAGAGTCTGATGTCTATAGATTCCTTATCAAGTTCAGTGAATGAAGAATCTATGAATATCTGCAATGGGACCTTTAGACGACATTAATATTTACAGCGAAATGAAAGTAGTGGTTATCGACCACTTAAACGCAAAGGAGTGAATGTCATCAACTAAAACATTAATTTGCATTCAAGATAGCTAAGTATCTTAGCACAGGCTTTTAAAAATGAAGACTCCTGCAGAACAACATAAACGAAAATCAGTGGAGTCCTGCATTACATATTTTACAGGGTAGCGAACGATACATAAAAACAAGTAAGCGTCTGCTTTCATACTATAAACTAACAGTGCCCATTTCACATTTATCGTACTGAAATAATGTACAATCTCTTAGCATGCTGAAACTCTCACCACTAAACAAACTAAAAAAATGCCAGATACAGTAGAAAACAGAAAATGTCGGCAGAAGTGACTTCTCATCTCTCACTGCACAATAATAATAAAAAATGAAATCTCCCACCTTGTAGCAAAAGTCCAATTGAGGGAATGAAGCGGCATGCTCTTCTCCCCGGCAGCGGCACACGCAGGCATCGGGCAAGAAAAAGCCAGAGCCATAGCGGCAATTGAGAGGATTGCTTCACCGAAAACGTCGTCGTGTTTCCGACAACTTCAGATGCACCATGACAGCACTCAGTTTGGCATTCTCTCGGGTTGCAGTAGAAACGTGATGTGAGAGAATTCCTACGCACTGTGCTGTATGACCTGACACAAACAGAGAATTCACCACAAACTTTACAGGCAGTAAAATTTTTCGGCTATATGTAAGCATCCTGTTTATGATTGTGAAAACCAGATATTATGTCAACTTTTTATTATACTTTATATTGTTTATACTGTATAATAAAAATTTGTTTTTAACTGTTTATATTATGACGACTCGGTTGTAACGAGGTTTATTGGCCGTGAACTCGGGAACAAACAAGCGCAACGGACCCGAAGATGAAGCACACTTTCAAAGACGATGATGACTGTCAGCCAGAACATGTGATGATAATTGACTGCTGTCCAGATGAGGATGAAGCGCGTAATAGATGCCTACATTGATTCCCCCCATGTGGAAGCGGCCAGCCTGGCCGCTACAAGCAGGTAGCCAAGGTGACGAGGAGCGTCGTGTGAAAAGGTCATGGGGAAACATGTACAATTTCGGTGCTGCGGTAACAGCGGTCAGTTGGCATGACAAGAGGCGTCACACGATAGTTGACAGGTGAAGTCTGCTCTAAAACAACACATGGGCCGATGAATCGAGGCTGGAACTAGTCACACAGACCAGGTGTGCAAATTAGTGTCAATAGCAGCACTTCGTCACCCGGTCGGAATGATACCACACGATGAAAGGTGTCGTTGCGGTCTTCCTTGCTTGTTGCGTAGCTTCCGTGGTCATACGAGCGTGCTGGCGGCACTGGGCAAGGCGAGAAATATATTCTTTGCAAGAAGACTGTCATAGAGAGCCATTGCTGGTGAAGAAGGAAATGTCGATAAAGAAAGTAGGTGAACGTCTGTAAACGAGATAAAACGGTGAGTAGCCAGCTGTGCGATGAACAGCGGTGTTGTAGGCGAAAGTGAGGAACGGTAGAAGTTTATCCCAGTTTCTGTGATCCGGTTGAATGTACACGGCGATCATGTCAGCAGGGGTTCGATGAAATCTCTCGGTCAGACCGTTTGTTTGAGGATGGAAGCTTGACACCGTCTTGTGTGTAGTACCAGAAACGCGAAGAAGTTCACCTAAAATCTGTAATAACACCTTTCCACGGTCACTTAGAAGTACACGAGGCGCACCATGACGTAGAATTATGGCCTGAAGGAGGAAGTCAGCAACTTCCGATGCTGAACCAGTAGCTACTGAAGTTGTCTCGGCGTAGCGTGTCAGATGGTCTACAGCGGTGACTATCCATCTATTTCCAGCGCCAGTAACGGGAAGGGGCCCATACGATCAACACCGACGACCTCTAAAGGTGTTTTAGGGCACGTCATTGGCTGTAAGGCATAGAAGGGGACACCAAGATGTCACCGTGGTCATTGCCCTTAGAGGTCAGGATCACAATTCGCTCCTGATATGGTGGTAGTTCCAGATCTTCGTGAGCGAACAGGCGTAGTGGCTTGTAGATGACTTCCTCGAATGTGGAGTTCATATTAGTAAGGTGCAGAATCAGTCCACCACAACATATACCGCTGAAGAAGAAGATAGGAAGTCCCACCCTAGAATTAGCTAGTGAGAGCACAGGGTAAGCACAGTGAACTGGATGTAATGCAGGATGTCATCGATAAAAGCATGAGCAGTACAAAGAGCAAAAGGGCGGATAGTGTTCCCCTGGGCTTCAACTAGAGTGCGTCCATTATAAGGTGGCATTACTTTTTTTAGGCGTTGGCACAAATCTTATCTAATCACAGAAACTGTAGCACCGGTGTCCACCAAAGCGTCCACGAGAACTCCTTCTACCATAACAAAAACCATGTTGAATGCACGTGCTGGAGGAATATCAGTCCTACTGTTACATGCAGTTTCTCCTCCGAAAACTGCATCATTTAATTTTTCGACCGCTTGTTAGTGGTAAACAGGCTGGCCGAAGAGGAGAGGAGGAGCGACGAAAAGGTAAAGGTGATCGGCGTCGGCTTGAACGGTAAGTCTTCCGCGTCTCAGTCGATGCGGGCGGAGATGGAGACCACTGATGTCCAGATGAATAACGCCGGGCATAAGAATCCCCGCTGGAAAAGTTCCGTTCGCGCATGTCGTACCCGCGACGCTCTTCCTGTTGGAGCTTGGAACAGAAGCGCGATATATGGCCACAATCTTCACAGTAAAAACATGTTGGGCGAAACGGATGCCAAGACGGGTAGTAGAGGGCGTTTGACGCACCGGAAGATAGCGCACTCAAGTGGGCAGACTCAAGTTGAGCAGCATTGGCCGGAAGTGGACCGGTGGTGCAGCAGCAACCAACGTGAAAAATGGCAGCGGCAACATAGAGTTTACGTTACGAGGAGGCGCGACCGCAACTTGCGCGTACGTTGGCAGGCTGGGCGCAGGTGGCTGTACGTGGGCTGGACCTGTGAATGATGTCAGTTCCTCTCTTACAATGTCCTGCAAGGCCATACTTGAAGGCTGTGTGACAGATGGAGAAGGTGGTGAGAAGCCGTTCTTCGCGTATGATCTCCCGTATCGTGTCACGCAGGTCCCGGTCTGCTGGACGGTGTTCGCTATTGCCCGACTAAAGGCGAACAGAATCAAGTTCATCGAGATGGTGACAGGTAGAGACGACGTCAGCGACAGTAGAAGGATTCTGGGCAACAAGGGCATTGTAGGCAATGCTTCGGATGCCCTTCAGGATGTGAAGCAGTTTGTCTGACTTGGACATCGAATAATCGACGCGCCGGCAGAGTGCAAGGACATTCTCGTTGTACGATGTGTATGACCTGTCGGGATGTTGTTGGCGAGTATCTAGGGTTCTCTACGCTAGAGCAGATCGAACGGCAAGTGTGCTGAACACTTGGCAAAGCTGTTGCTTGAAGGCAAGCCAGTCGGTGAAGTCAATCTCATGGTTCAAGAACCATGTCTTGGCAACGCCCGTGAGATAAAATGATACTTGGCGGAGCTTGTTAGAGTAGTCGCAGTGATTAGTTGTGCTTACTCGCTCGTAGTTATCGAGCCAGTTTTCCACATCTACGCCGTGGAGACCAGCGAAGACCGAAGGGTCGCACTGGTGATTTACGATGTAAAGAGGACGGGCTTGCAGTGCAGAGATAGGAGCAGAAAGGGTGTCCGCCCACTCACTCTGAGACATGTTGGCAGACTGAGGGTTCAAGCGGCGGCCTGAACGGAGCTCCAGCTAGTAGGCGTGGTGAGGAGAGGACCGTGATCGTCAATCCACCTCCACCACGTATGACGACTGGGTTGTAACGAGGTTTATTGGCCGTGAACTCGGGAACAAACAAGCACAACGGACCCGAAGATGAAGCGCACGTTCAAAGATGATGATGACTGTCAGCCAGAACAGGTGATAATGATTGACTGCTGTCCAGATGAGGATGAAGCGCAGAATAGATTCCTACAATATTTATGTTCATTTAGGATCATTTGAGATTTATCCTGGGTTGTATAATGTAACTTTTGTAACCTTTACAAATTGGATTCTGTTGTTGACACATGTCAAACTTTCCTCTTTTTGCCGACATGATATTCCTTTATATACAGTCCATCTATTAAATATACAAAATCACAGTATCATACTGGAATTCGCCAAAAGTAACCTGCATTCCTATTGAATATACTGCACAAAGCATACCGGCATGCAGAAAAACACACTAATCCTGATAAATTTTTATAAAACAATGATGATTCGGCCAATTAGTGCTGAGATATAAGAGCCACACAATGATGCATGCAACTACAGTAAGTGCCAGTAGTATCTAACATTGTGAACTATGAAACTGGCTGGCATTGTTGGCAGCAATCCACCCTGTGTTATAAAATAGTACCACAGTACCTATGCAATGGCTATATGAATAGGGTAACACACCACCTCAAGGGTCATGCTCATGCAAAAGCCTGGCGTGATAGTTGGCAAGGCACGGTGGACGTTACGTCATATGAGTATGGCACCACAGTTCCAAGAATGAGTTTACAACGAAAAACAAAGGGAAACCTCAATGGCATGGCAACAGGTGTACATCAATAAAATCCATATCTAGATGATGCCTTTATAGATGTTGTCACAATGAAACTTGCAAGCCCCCCCGCCCTATACAGTACATACTCTACACCTTTCACAAAAGTTTCTTAGCAATTGATCTTTGAGACGGCTCAATCGAAAATAGTTTCATTAATTGCCAAGCACTGTAACCCCAATAAATTCGTATGGATTTGTTTTTGTTTGTTTGTTTTTACAACTGTTATGCTATGCAAAACAATAGGACCTCATGTGTGTAGAAATACAGTTTATCATGTACTGTCAGGACATATTCAGACATGAAGAATTTCAATTATTGCAACTCCAATGCACCATTCTCTTGTTATAGTCTTATGTTCCTTCTGAACAGCAGCTCAATTCAAACTCACGTGCACTTCTCACTTGGGACTACCCTTAGAAGTTGGCTACACTGTGACTGCACATCAGACTTCCATGTAAGAACATGTAACAAGTATTTTGACCAGCTGTGACTTGTTCATATCTCCATTTACAAAGATGGTATTTGCCTCATGTGCCATAGTCACGCAGACAGCTTACAAGGCCAGCAAATAAGTAAATAGTAAAAGGGTACGAAGGCTTCAGTGTTGAAATAAACCACACTACAAAAAAAAAAGGAGGGTGAGAAGAAATACAATCATAACATGAAGCAAAGAGATACAGAACTAGCTAGTAGAAATTCAAAAGTTGAGCTTCCATGTGTAGCTAAAATGTCAAATGTAATAATGAAAAAAAAAGTATCATACCCCATAGTGCTTCTTCCATCAGATCTGACAGATGGAGGGCCACTTGGAATGTTGGCAAAATTCTGGTTGCAATTCCAGAGCGGATCAGATGTGGCACCTAAAACCCTGCAATAACAACAGTTGTAGACAGCACACGATTATGTTGATTTTTAGGCTACAAATAACACCTCTATAACTATTCTGCACAGTTTGCAAAACACATTTTTGGTTCTGACATATATTTTGTCCCTGTTTTTTGCACAACTTCAACCTTGTATAGAGATATTTTGGCACGTTAACTGTCACGGCCTAGCATGCATAAATAAATTCCCGAAAAGTCTAGTGCTTGCGGCACCAGAGCAAATGCACAAGTGGCTTCATATTTTACACGCATGCATATTACAGCTTCCACTTACACTGATGAACGGACAGGGTGAACATCCGAGGAACGATCTTCTTCCGTTGAATCCGACGTCCATGTCGTAGGGCCTTCCATCTCAATAAACCCTTACAACAAAACAAGAAATATTATATGTATGTAACGTTACGCGCATTAAGGAAATGCGCATCTATGCTTCGAGACCTGTCGTGCTGCGGATAACGAGCATATACTGGTTTCGTCGCGTGATCGAACATATAACTTTTTATTTCAATCGGTAAGCAAGGCTTCGTGCTGGCTTAACAGTGCATCCTCAACACGGCGAAAGACAAGGGGAAGCGCAATGTTGCATGCGAAGTGGGAAGATGTGCACAAGTCTCCAGCGCGCGCGCCCCGACTGACTCACTTGTTGCCGGCGAACAACTGTTTCTTTATTTTTAACACGGCAAAGCGCAACAGGTGCCGGACGCTCACAGCCGAGTTCTTGGAAGCAGAACGCGTACGTGCCTCAAACGGGGCAAATGTGACGTGAAATTCGTTATTGCTACTTTTCACTCCGCCCCCTTGGTCGAATCCTAAAACGAATCTGTCGTGAACCTTTTCTTCTTTTTTATGTAAGCGCGCATCTATTCTACCTACACTTCCCACTAGAAATATAATAGGAGGCGTCACATTACCCGCTGATAAACGACTGTTCACGCCTGCACAAAGGGAAAAATCTTCGAAGATAATAAGCGTGCATACGTACCGGTGGCGGCCATTTTGTAAACATGATCAGCTGATTGCTCACGTGGCTCACGCATTTATTGGCTCCACGTGCACGGCATTCATGGTGCTTTGCGGCGTCCACAAAAATCGGTTGTTTTGGCTTATACTTGCAATGGTATAATGATGCTTGTGATGCGGAAGCTACAACAAATACACTTGGCATTCACACAAAGTGTACACTATGTGTACGCACACATATGCTGTATCGGGATGCACGCTGACCATGTATTTCAGTATGCCTCCAAAATGCAGCAAGCCTTGGCTCTGCCGCATAACTCATTCATCAAAAAAAAAAAAAACTTAAAAAAGCGTAGGCCTGTACTAGTGCGGTTGGATGTAAACACTAGACTAGGCCGTATTGCAAGAACTGATAGCAACCACACTACTCACATTTCATTTAATTGAGGAGGTAGTGTACTTGACCATTCTTTCATCCTTTGCATACGATTGCCGTTGAACCCCTCTACAATAAGAGGCACTGATGTAATAGGCAATAGGGTGTAAGAGACACCAGAGTGTCTACATCACAATAATAGGGGTCCATCAGATAAGGCACTCAGAACTGCTTTCTATACATATATATATATATACATATACATATATATATATATATATAATATATATATATATATATATATATATATATATATATATTATATATATATATATATATATATATATGTATATGTGTGTGTGTGTGTGTGTGAACGATTGTCATCCCTCATTTTTTTGTCTGCGTTCTTTTGTATATTTTTTTTTTCAAAAATGAACAAGCACCCACTAGTTTTTAAGACGTGGTACCCTGTTTATAAAGGTACACCTCATAAGGGACAAGAACTATTACCTGGCATGTGTGTCTTATTAAGTTGAACAGTACATATACTTCGAGGTTTCAGTTTCCAATGCTTTTCAACTTTGAACACTGAAGAAACTCAAACAACTTGACAAGAGACATGCCAAGAAACAGCTAAAAACAGGTTTATTTGACTAGTCATATGTACAAATTTACAAGTCGCAGATTATCACAGATCATCATCTTCACAAGCGTCCAGGAAGATGTCGTATGCCTCCCTGTTGCAGTTGCCGTCCTTGGTGAAGACGTACTTGTGGAATGAGCCATCAACACAGATTGCTAAAAAAGAAAGGGCATTTAAGTGCATTCATTTTACCAAAGAGCTTCGTATTAACTGAACTAATTTTGAACATCTACATTAGGCCCTTCACTTCTATATTCCGGACAAGCGATCTTCTTTCAAAGCAAAGGAATAAATCTGGGCTCCCCAGCAAGATTCTTTACTATGGAAATGACATTTAATTATGTAATAAATCTGAGGGTTTTACATGCCAATATAGAGCACCATTATAAAGTAAGGATTCATCAGGATTATCGAAATTCCAATATCTGAGGGCATACAGGCCTGCAACAGCAGCTGCCCAGAGAACCTGGCTGTGTGTTCTAGTAACTGTCATGTCAGAAACTGAAAGGGGCTGTCCACTGTCCTTCACTGCTATACTGTTTTGTGTCACAATAAATAGCGTAACATGGAAGTGTCAAACGATGCAGCGGTTTCTCTAGAAAGTGTGTAGAAATATTTAAAACAGAATTTCTAAATCTGCGTTCGGTTTTCTTTTATTGGCGGGATAAATGCCCACAACGCTGGTCAGTGGAGGCGATGGCAATCACCATGCCGGTGAAAGTCGAAAACTGAAACTGCGTGCAAGTTTTGCAGGCTCCAAGTCTTGTTTATTAAACAAATACCTTAGTGGTCATTTAAGGCATGCAAACACTTTTTCGTAGTTTTTATGAGCGGCGGCGGATGCCATTTTCACATTTCTCCACTAGCAGGTTAGCAGGCGGACATGCAGGAATCGACTACGCCGCCCAGCGCCGCCAGGTGCCTCTTTGAACGCGAGACAAAAAGAGAAAGAACTAGTGTCTCTGCAATGCTTAAAGCTGCCTCAAGTGCGTAAAATACAGTTTCAGGTTATAAGGTGTTTTTAAGCAAAATAAGTCTACCCTGCAAGGATTTCTTGTCCTAACAGTAAGAATTTCTTGTCCTAACAGTAGATTGACCACATCACTGTTGGTGATGCAAGCAGTTATGTTTGCTAACTTTCAACCAAGTTTATGTTAGAATTTTTTTTATGGGACAAAAGCACGCTCGTCGCTGCCAATGTGATGAACGATCTTCTGATTTGCACCACAATCAGAAAGTTTCTTCCGAGCAGTAAACAGTCCCTTCAGCTGTGTGCGAGTACAGGTGTGTGTCCCATATGTGTGCTTGTGTGTTCATACATTGTGCACTGTCTCTTTCTGCACATGTTACTTTAAAGGGCCACACACCAGGCCCCATACCAAATTTTAGTTGTTGGGTGTCCGATGAGAAACATTTTGCCACAAAAATTTTTTGAATCCGTTGATCACGAGTGGAGAAGAGTTTTTTGAAGCGGCGTGAAACGAGGATGAGGGGAGGTGAGCTCAAAACCCTTGCCGCTCCTCTGCATAGCCTATGCAAGACAAATCTCTTCCCCACCCTCTACGGCATCCAACCAAAGGTCACGTGCGCATGACGTGCCCAAACAAGTCCAAACCCTGAACACGCGAGCGGCGTTGCTTTGTTGACCAGCGTTACTTTGTAGTCTTCTGCCTGCTTCTGCCGGATGGTTTGGAAACGCTGGCTTAGACGCGGTAGTATAGATGAGCACAATGAGTGCGGGAATGCGTAGGAGCGTTCCGCGGTGGTTGTCTGCTCAATGCGCTGACCCCGGGTACACGAATGCATGCGAAGACCCGGCACATTAGCCCCTCATCTCGTTGCAATTCACAGGAGAACAATGGAAAAAAGACGCTCACATTCCCTTATTGCATCTCATTATTTAACTAGAGCTTAATTAATCTCTTCAAGCAACAAATTACATAAACTATGCATGCTTGCTAAATAATTTTCGCCATGTCACGTGCCACTGTTTGCAACATCAGATCAGAGTCGTCTACGTAGAGGACCAACGTCACTGCATTGCCATGTACATAGGGCCATTCAAACGTGCATGTCACGCCCTCATTCTTTGGGCGCGTGCCGGCAGAAGGGAGGGGGAGAAGCGTTCATCTTGAAATGTGACCCATTTCCACGGAGCGTAGCATTGCAAATTTTGGCAGATGTGATCATGAACGCCTCGTCTATGCATTGCGCTCGTCAGCTCAAAATTGTCAAACCTGGTGAGTGGCCCTTTAAAGGGATACTGAACAAATATTGGAGAAAACTGACGAAACTTCAAAATTACACTTCGGAAGATGACACTGTTCCAATAAACGGAATTCATTTCACTGTATTTTTGAACAGCTGGCTGTACTTTCTGACGGATTGTGAGCGCGTGGGAGCTGCTCTCGAGCACGAGCAGCGATGCCGAAATCACTGAGGCGCATGCAGGATGCACATGTTCTTATCTCCCTTTTCTTTTTCTCCAGCTGTCCTTTCACTCCTCTTGTTCCCTTCCACAAAAGCGCTGGCACTTAGCTCCAGCCGGAAGCATTGTGCGCTGTTGTTGCTGTTCATACCGGTTCTGGGAACCGTAGAGGAAGTTGAAAGAGTCGAGAGACGCGGGCGATGGCAGGCATTGTTGGTTTGCCAGTTTCCGGCGAGTCTGACCTCGCCCAACGTCATATCCTCTAGTTCACGGCGCTGCCACTAGACACGACAGTTTGTGAACAATGCATTAAGTTCATTATTTTACCGTAGTTTCTGCTTGGAATGAAGGTTGTCTCTATCAATTTCAAAATCCAATCTAGCAAATTGGCTAAAAATATTGGCGGCAAAATTTTGTTCTGTATACCGAGGCAGAGTAAAAACACGTGGTTGCACTAGGGATAACCATAAAGGCGGCACTAGTGGGTGTCCCTAGAAGTTTCAGCACAAAGGCGCTTTATATTCCTTTAATTGAGTTCATGTTGTCGAGGCTAAAGGTCTCAAACCTAGGCTGCAGACATGTATGCAGAGTGGACGATCCCTGCACACAACAAAATTAGAACAGCAGTGAACAGATCATGCAGAGTCTGCAGGTTCAGCTCAGGCTCACAATGTGCTGTCTGTTCCGAGTGTCTCCCATGCACCGTGCATGTAGGCACTGCCCGTATGACATGCAGCGGAGTCAACCACCTACCGTACACCGATGACCCAGTTCCAAAAGCACAAATGCAGGCACACTCTGCTTGTACTGTGAAGTTTGCCAGAGCCCACTGAGACTCCATGTAAGGTCCGAGGAACACCATCTTCTGAAAGCTGCACACAAACCAAGGAAACAAACAGTGCTGGTATTTGGTTAAGTCAGTGGTGCCCAAATAAGGGTCCACAAAGCTATTTTTGCTAGGCTGTGAGACCATTCCTTAGGCGAGGGGACTCATAACTTGCTTTACGAAAGTAGTGCCTTTATTATTTTTTTTTTGTATGCTTCCCTGCCTGGCACCTCGGCATTGCTGCAGAAATTACAATTCTTCCCTTCTCCACGAGCTGGCTGTAAAGCTCTCAATCATCGTGGAATAACCAACAATGCATTTTTTCCTTTTCTACTGTCCGCATTCTTACTCTGTAGCGCTGTTAGTCTTTCCATGAACATCCAGCAATTATACTTGCGATTCAGCCAAGGCTTCTGTTGCAGTTTTCAAAGACATGTGTGCTAACATACTTTTCCTAGGCTTGCATATTTCAACAGCAAACTCAGCTGCCGACTGCACAACTCGCTGACAAGCTGTTGAGATCGAACTGCTGCCGTGGCACTTTAATTTGATCATTATTTGACAGGTAAAAAGTAAGGGCACCAACTTCACACTACATGTTATTTCTGCCCCCCATTGCTTTTTTTTCTTATCTGTCCTACCAGTCCACAAGGGGTCCTCAAAACATCGATGGCTGAGAACCACTGGCTCAAGAGGTGGCAGGCTAGTCACAACTAGATTTGGCGGTACACAATGAAAGGACATCATTGCATTATATAT